ATATACCATGTTTCATGTTATTTGTTAGAGTTCTGCTGCTTTCCACTAGAGGGCAGGATTTTCATCTGTTTTGATCACTGCTTATAACAGGATACTCAGTAAATATTTGTTGAATGAAAGAATGAAAAATGAATGAATAAATGAATGATATGCAGCCAAAAGTCAAGGAAGAGGTAGAATAAAAAATTATAATTGTTTTTGGCAGTTCGAGATTACTGGTGATTTTGATGAGCAGAGTTTCAGAAGCCATTCATAGTGGACAAAGGGCTCCTCGGGAGATTCTCCAAAGTTGGGGGAGAGGGAGGAGGAAAAGGGTAATTGATATCATAAAAACAAGAAATAGAATTGAGAGAGAATAGACTGCTGTACTGAAACTAATTGGAATCTACATTCTTCTCAAGTGCACATGGAACATTCTCTAAGATAGATATATTAGGTCACAAAAGAAGTCAACAAATTTAAGAGGACAGAAGTCATACCAGGTATCTTTTCTTGCCACAGTGGGATTAAACTTGGAACTAACAGCAGAAGGAAAATGAAAAACTCACAAATATGTGGAAATTAAACTACATGTTTTTGAATAACTAAAATTCTCAACAAAAAACTAGCAAACTGAATCCAACAGCACATTACAAGGACTATGTAACTGACTAAGTGAGATTTATCCATGGGATGCAACAATGGTTCAACATGCAAAATCAATTAATGTGATATGCCACATCACATCATCTCAATAGAAGCAGAAAAAAGCATTTGGTGAAATTTATTATTCTTTTAATGATAAAAACTCTCAATAAACTAGGAATGGAAAGAAATGATCTCAACACAATAAAAACCATATATGAAAAAATGCACAGCTAACATTATACTCAGTGGTGAAGATGGAAAGATTTTCCTTTAAGATCAGAAACGAGGCAAGGATGCCAACTCTTCCCACTTCAATTTAATTATTACTAGAAGTCCTCCCTAGAGCAATTAGATAAGAAGAAGAAATAAAAGGCATCCATGTCAGAATGGAAGAAGTAAAACTGTCTCTGTTTGTAGATGACCTGAACTTATATAAAGAAAACCCTAAAGACTTCACACACAAAAAATCTAATAAATGAATTCACTGAAATTGCAGGACATAAAAATCAACATATAAAAATCAGTTGCACTCCTATGCACTAACAATGAACCATCAGAAAAGGAAATTAGCAAATCCGTTTACTACAATAACACAAAAAATAAAATCCTTAATAATACATTTAATGTGGACTTCCATTGGAACTAGAAATGGAGGAGAATATTCAGATACCAGTAAATTTTGGGGAAATTTCATCCCTTGTGCCAGACAGATTGAGCTCGGTGTATTGGAATTGTCCTCTTGTGTTTTTTTATGTTGTGTTTTTTTTGTTTTGTTTTTTGTTTTGTTTTTAATTCAGTGACTAAACCAGAAACCCAGTGTTTGATCAATCTACCCAGTAGGTGGTTTGCTTTTTGTTGAGGGATGTCTGGTCTCCCGATAGTGGCACAGATTAGAGCATGAGCAGGGCTGGCTGCATTAGAAGAGGTGGGGAGGGACTTTGTTACAGGGGGTTTGACTGTTCTTTCTTAATGGTATGTATTTGAAATGCTTTCTGGGTACAGCTGCCTGATCCCTTCTGTTTGGCAGAAAAATGCGTTATCCAAGTATTTTTTCCTACTATAGAAAGCCTGTAAATAAGGGCTTTGAAAAAATAAATTTAACAAACCAGTAAGATTCTGTGTCTCATATGTAAACATTTTGTGTACTTAGCACTTGAAAATAAACAAATCCAGACTTTTAAAAATGTCACAGACTGTTAAAAGCCTGACTCTACTTTGAGAATTCCTTAACATCTGTTAAAATGCCTTATTCTTCAATGGGCGTTTTTTTAGATTCTGGATTTAAAAAAAAAAGTTTTTAGAAATATAATCACTTGTTCAGTTTGAATACAAGAGATCTAACATAGTCAGTCCTCTTAAAGAAACAAATAAGAAAGTAGGGTTCATAATCAGGACTGCCTTTTGGGAGGAGAAAGCTAAGTATTGCTATTGCCAAATGATGTTTTTGATAATGTAAGGAAACACAGGGACCATAAGACCTTTTTGTTTTAGAGTGTGAAAGACTACCTTCGTGCCCTTTGGCACACTTTTGATTGTAGAGGATAAATGGCATCAGTATCGACAAATCACATAGATACAAAAATTGTACAGATTATGACACTATTGAAGGTTTACCCTTATTCTACAGAACAGCTTTTTAAGAGATACTGTGGGGGCCCCAGACCAGCACATTTCAGGAAGAAATTCTACACAGGTTGAAATGCTAAAAACAGAAAACATATTGTGTTGACTCACGTAATTTAGTCAATTTTATTAGGGATTTTAAAAAAATATATATTTTATTGATTTTTTACAAAGAGGAAGAGAGAAGGATAGAGAGTTAGAAACATCGAGGAGAGAGAATCATCGATCAGCTGCCTCTTGCACAACCCCTACTGGGAATGTGCCCGCAACCAAGGTACATGCCCTTGACTGGAATCAAACCCGGGACCCTTCAGTCCGCAGGCTGACCCTCTATCCACTGAGCCAAACCGGTTTTGGCTTTATTAGGGCTTTTTTTTTTTTTTTTTTTTTAAATGAAAACCAGTGACTGAGTACTGTACGTGCTATGCTCTCACTTGGGGATTCAAGCTCCCTGCAGGCCGGGTGAGAGTAGGCAACAGCTGTCAACACTCCTGTTTGAGAGGCTGGTTCACCATCCCAGGCCAGCCATCCAGCCACACACTGGACACAAGAAGGGGGCGCCTTTTCCTCCGGTGGAAATGGAGCGATGGAAGTAGATTGTAAACAGAAACTCAGTATGTTGAAATGGTGCCCGTGTCAGCTGGGCCTTCACCGAAAAACAAGCCAGAAGCTCTGAAGAGTCCACCCCATTCACCTGCTCACCCTGAGGTTCTGGTCCAGCCAGAAGATGCCCTGTCCCTTGTACTCCCGTGTGCCTGCTCCCTCAAGGTTTATGAGTTGGGAATACATGGGGAAACGATGTACACTGATAGTATTCCCATGACACAAACTGCCAGCAGACTAACTTGTATTTTAATTTGAAAAAGACAAAACAAAACAACCTTTTGCATAGGTCATGTCCATGTTATGGGACCATATTTCTTATGTTTAGCATTCTTTACATTTCAACTTTTTAAAGGAAAAAAAACACCTTCTGAGGTGTTGCTCAAGTCCTCTGTGTAAATGTGTTCTCTCTCCATGCTGCCAATAAGCCAAATCAAAAGCTATGCATTAAAAAAAAAAATGTATTCGAGAATTGATGAGAAAGTGATTATTTACAGATCAAAGTCTTTGTGTTATAAAGCAACCAAATTTTAAAAAGAATGTCACCTTTTTTTTTTTTTTCTTGTTGTGGAATCCAGAGGTTGTAAAAAGAAAAGAAAAAAGACCTTTTGTTCCATTTTTTATGTTGGCATGAGATTTTTGTCCACTTTTTTTTTTCCATATGTCTGTGTATAAAAAATTCTGTTCATTGTTTACTATGGGATTATTATTACATTTTGAGGTAAACAAAAGAATTTATATTGCTTGATAAACTGTTAGCCTGTAAATATCCAAGGTTTCGTCACTTCAATTAAAGTAATGGACCAATAAAAAAGAAAAGAAAAGCAGGAGAAAATCAAACAAAAATATCAATGAAAAAGAAAATTTATTAAGAAGGACAAATACACTTACATTCATGTTTTAAAATTATATATATATATATATATATATATATATATATATATGAATATTTATTAAAAAAAACAAATGCAATTGTGAAAAAGCTAGCATGGACCTATCCAATAGAGGGCAATTCTTCTATTCTCTGAGTCAGAATTGAGCCCCCATGGCGGTCCCTGCTAACTCCTGTCCTTTACCCACCAACAGCCTGTTCTTTGTCCACCTGTGTCTCTGCCCATGAAAATCACATAGGAATACACTTGGCTTGTTTGGAAATCACATTTGCTTTCTATAGTCACTTCTACTTTAATAATTTTATAGAAGGCAAACATAATCTCTAATCCAAATACTGCTAGCACAGGGAAACCTTTTTACTCCTCTTCAATCTGCACAGTGGACTCTGTGACTCGGCCCAGGGCCTAGCTTACATAAGCAAATGACATGCTCTTACGACCTCCAAAATGATTTCTCCTAAAAACTGGCATCCTTCAGGGAAAGAGAAAAAACACCAGAGTTGGGGTTTCAGATGTCTCATCCAGAAAGCTCTGCTTAATTAGCTTTTCCTCTTTAAATACATACTATATTAAAAGGGTACAAAGAGAAGCTATAGGGTGGTATAAAGTATGACAAAAAATTAGATGTATGTATTAGGATGGAGGTAAGATATTTTTTCCTATATCACATTTAATACTAGTCATCTCTAAATGATGAAATTTAGGTTATTTTAATAAAATATCTCCTTTTTCACTCATTTCAACTTTTAACTTTTTCTATAGTTCTTATTTATGATGATGATGATTTGTAAAAACTTTTCAGTTGTGTCTTAACTCATGATAAATTTGCAATAAATATTTGTTAAAGTTGACTACTTAAAGAAAGCAATACAAAAACACCTTTAATTGTCATTCAGAGATAACTTAATGCTCTTATATAGAATTTTCCAGTTTTTATTTATTTAAAAAATCATATAAAATATTTTGAAGGTGGGATTTTTGTAACCTCTTCCTCTCTTTTTTAATCTCCTCTTTCCCCCATATTTCTTTCTCCCTGACTCTCCCATTAAAATTATAGAGAAAATTAGCTACCGGCTGGCTCAGAAACGCATGCCAGCAGCAAAGTGACCCCTTTGCTAGGGTTTGAAATATCAAAAACCCTGTAAACTGACTTAGCAAAGATTTCTAGGCACTTTCATTAAAGGTATGGTCTTCTGGAAAGGGACTCATGTCCCTCTGTCCTGGACATTGCAAAACTGCATTTTTCTCTTGCAGGCATTTTCAGCTTATTACTATGTGATGAATTTTTTAAATCTCACATCAGATGCCTCCCTCACCCAGAAAAAGATAACAGACACGATGGAAAAGTTCTGCTCTGAGCCCTGGAAAGATGTAAGTAACTAGAAATAGCTTTTGTTACCATTGTTCTGAGTCCTTGACAACAAGGAAGATGTGAGTCTGCCCTTTAAGTTGTGCTAATTTGACCACAATACAGAAGTGAGTTGATCAGCATTTCTTGATAACTTGGCATTCAGGGGCTTAAAAAAAAAAGTCTTATTTTTCTCACCTAAAGTGAGGTCTGGCAGTAGGCAGCTGCTGGCATGGGGTCAGCAGTTTGACTCTATCTCAGCCATTCTCAGTTCTGTTGTTATGTCTCTTTTCACCTCTTTCCCCCCCCCCTCTCTCTCTCTCTTTCTCTCTCTCTCTCTGTTGTTCCCTTCCTGAGGATATGTTTTCCGTTGACTTTTAAAGAAAGAGTGGAAGGGAGTGGGGAGGTGGAGAGAGAAAGAGACACATCAATGTGAGAGAGACACATGGACTGGCTGCCTCCGGCACATGCCCCAATGGGGGTGGGCATGAACCTGCAATCCTGGTATGTGCCCTTGACCATCAAACCTGAGATCCTTTGGTGCTCAGGCTGATACTCTAACCACAAAACACACTGGCCAGGGCTAGTCTATTTTATGATGGACACAAGATATAGCTTCAGGGATTGCAGCTATGTTCAAGGTCAGAAGAAGGGTAGAGCCAGATATGACTATTCCTTTTCATAGGAAGCAAAATATTTCCCAGAGGCTCCTTAACAGTTTCTCTTATATCTCTCATTGGCCAAGACTGGCTGAGAAAGCAGGATTTTATGACTGGTTTAGAGTCTTAGATCCATCATGATCTGTTTCCTGGAGCTAGGCATGTTGTCACCCACTCCCCTATCCAAACACCCAAATAAGAGTTTTATTTGCAGGAAAGATGGGCAATTCACAGACACCACCTGCCACAGACACCACTGCCTAGGTCCAGATATCTCCTACTTACTCATAAATTTGAAAGTACAAACTTTTTCTTGTCAGAGGCACTGAGTCATTCAAGATTTGGCACTATTTGATGAAAGTTCCCAGGAAGAAGAGAGCTATGGGGTCTACTGTGATTAAAAAAAACAAAAAACAAAACCTCATCTAGGGGTGGTGCAAAACAGCGGCTGTTTTAAGCTAATACAGTTGCAAAAGTGAATGGTGATTTCATTCTGAAAAAATGTAATTATCTAAAAACGGATACTGCTCCCATCTGCACTGACGAAGCGGGGAAGGAAGGTTGTGCAAGAGCCTGGAGGTTTGGAATCCTCCTTTCTGAATTAAAGAAAGGGTAATCAGCTGAAACCGGTTTGGCTCAATGGATAGAGCATCGGCTTGGGGACTGAAAGGTCCCAGGTTCGATTCCAGGTCCAAGGTCAAGGGCATGTACCTTGGTTGCAGGCATATCCCCAGTAGGGGATGTGCAAGAAAGGGTAATCAGCCAAAACCGGTTTGGCTCAATGGATAGAGCATCGGCTTGGGGACTGAAAGGTCCCAGGTTCGATCCCAGGTCCAAGGTCAAGGGCATGTACCTTGGTTGCAGGCATATCCCCAGTAGGGGGTGTGCAAGAGGCAGCTGATCGATGACTCTCTCTCATCAATGTTTCTAACTCTCTATCTCTCTCCCTTCCTCTCTGTACAAAATCAATAAAATATATTTTAAAAATAAATAAAGAAAGAAAGAAAGAAAGAAAGAAAGAAAGAAAGAAAGAAAGAAAGAAAGGGTAATCAGAGCTTTTCAAAAGACCTGCTCAAATAAGCCCCAACACCTTACAAAACACTTAGCAGAGGCATTTTGCAGTTGGTGATGATCTGTGGAGGAAGACCTTGAAATCATGGACATTGACATCAGGCTGCCAAGAAAGTGGATTTAGGCTGCACTTCGGAAAAAAAATTACTTTATATTCCAAGGGAAAGCTCTGCCAGACTTTCTCTCCTTACACTCATCCACTTTATTATTTTTATTTTTAAAAAAATATATGTTATTAATTTCAGAGAGGAAGGGAGAGGGAGAGATAGAAACATCAATAATAAGAGAGAATTATTGATTGGCCACCTCCTGCACACACGCTGGGTGATTGAGCCCACAACCAGGACATGTGCCCTGACAGGAAATTAGACTGTGATTTCCTGGTCCATAGGTTGATGCTCAACCACTGAGCCATGCCGGCCAGACTCATCCACTTTTTATTTCCTCAGATTACATTTACATTTGGTTGGGAATCTTATAGTAGGCAGACCTGCAGGTCTGTTCAATTAAGTCACATGAGGAATTCGAGGCCCTGGAAGTAAGGTAAAAAAAAAATAAAAATCTGCATTTGGGAGAAATTCTGAAACATTTGGTGGGGAGGGATGTGGGAATATAGGGTGGATGGGGGTGGAGTTGTGAGTGAGACCCAGACCCTCACACAGAGCCTAGAATATTGAGATTGGTGTTATGTGTTATGACCCAGTGTTTTTTCTAATTGCATTGTCCATCTGTGTGGAAAACAGTGTGTGTGTGTGCGCGCGCGCGCGCGTGCTGGAAATATTGTTAGAGGGTAACTCTTTTCTTCTTTTCCTGCTAACTTCAACATGAGGAAGGACTGCTACCCCAGTCTGACTTTAGTTTGGGAATGTCCTTCTAGACACCTTTGGCAGACAATTGCTAAGCATATATTATGTACTGAAAGGTGGACCAGCTGCTATATAATATTATAACAGTACTGCCTGTCCTTATTTTGGTAGGGGAAATAAAATGTAAAAGTGGGCGAACCATCGCCTTATTTGGAGAGCACCTAGTATTGAATTCACATGCATTAACATTATCAATTCTGGGGTGTAAAAGGTGATGGAATGAATACAAATTGTCTTAATGTAAAGTACAGCATAGGTAATATAGTCTATAATATTATAATAATGATGTATGGTGTCAGGTGAGTATTGGACTTACTGGGGTGATCACTTTGTAAATTACATAAATGTGTAATCCTATGCTGTACACCTGAAACTAATATATTTTATGTCAACTGTAACTGAAAAACAAAACAAACAAACAAACAAAAACAACCAACCCACAATAACATGATCAATTCTGTATTGATGAACTAGGTAGATGACTTTGGCTTCTATATTGTTAGCTTGTATCGTAATTAGTCCTCAGCAAGTTAGACTGTGTAGCCAATGTACAGTTCCCCAGAAGGAAGAAGGGGATAGAAATGTTGAAGAATTTAGAGAAATTAGGCCAAAATAGCATTTCCTCCAGGGGACAAGCAAGCCTTTAGAGCCTCTGAGGTTGCAACAGTGGATTGGTGGAATTCTGTATCCCATAGCGGTGTTTGGTTTGATAGGCCTGCCAAGACTACATCAAATGGGAGAAGAGGTCTTTTGACAAAGGAAAATCAAAGTGCAGACAGCAAGGGGCAGGGACCTGGAAAGGCAAAGGCAACTGATATCACACCGAGGTCTCAGGAGAATGTCATATGCAGAGGAGTTGATCAAAGAATAATTCCAAGGACTGTAATAAAAAGAAAGGTTCCTGAAATGCTCTTTCTCCCTTTGTTTTGTTTTTGTTTGTTTGTTTTTTTAAAATATATTTTATTGATTTTTCACAGAGAGGAAGAGGGATAGAGAGTCAGAAACATCGATGAGAGAGAATCATCAACCAGCTGCCTCTTGCACACTCCCCACTGGGGATGTGCCCGCAACCAAGGTACATGCCCTTGACCGGAATCGAACCCGGGACCCTCCAGTCCGCAGGCCGACGCTCTATCCACTGAGCCAAACCGGTCCCAGCTCTTTCTCCCTTTGGAAGGTAGCCCAGCAGGGGTCTTCTCCTCTAATAAAGCCTATGTCCTGGTTCTCCGGCCCCTCAGTCTCATCTTTCAGTTCCAAGCTGGGTAATTCGAAGATTCCATCAGAGCAGCACAAAGCAGGCGTGGAATTAGGTGTGGAATTAGTTTTCCAGGGATTGAGGGCTGGCAGGAGCCAAGTGAGAAACAGACTCCAGCTTCCAGTTAGGGTTTAGAGATAGGATGTTCCTTGTAAGGGGAGAGAAATCCGAGCAAAAGCAGGACAGGTAGGCAGCCAAGAGGTCCCACATATAAAATATCTGTTATAATTCCTAGTATGTGCTTAACAAATGCTAGTTTTCTCTCTTCCTAGGGCAGTGGTGATGTACATGGGAGGGAATGCCTGTCATAAGGGCTGAGGAATAGGGTAGAAGAAATAACTGGAGCTGAGCTAGCGATGTCCTCGCCTGCTGACTTTTATTGAGGGGCGAAGAGGAGCATCAGGGCACATATTCACAACTAGGCAAAGGCAAGGGTTGGCAAGTAGCTGTTAATATCTTCTTTTAGGAGTAGGGTAAGTAAACACATGCATGACTCAGATGCAAAAAAAGAAAAAGAAAAAAGGTTAGGTAAAGACAGAGGGACAGAAGGTGAGATGTTAGCACTTTTAGGAATCCTGAGCAAAATGATTTCTATGTATTCCACAGCTGTTTATCAGACATTACTATGTACATGATCACATTCTGTGTTGGCTATTCTGGGCAAGGACTAAGTTCCTAGGGCAGTGGTGGGCAAACTCATTAGTCAACAGAGTCAAATAGCAACAGTACAATGATTGAAATTTCTTTTGAGAGTCAAATTTTTTAAACTTAAACTATATAGGTAGGTACATTGTTATTAACTTAATTAGGGTACTCCTAAGTTGGCCTTTGCTAAAAACTCAAGAGGCCAAAGAGCCGCAAGTGACTCTCGAGCCGCAGTTTGCCGACCACTGTCCTAGGGGATACTGATACTACTAGTCCAGAGATTAAACTGAGTGGCTTTTTATGACACTATTTCCTTTAAGATGCTTATAGAGGCTCTGAATTAAAGGCTGGTCAAGAACATATAGAAAACTCTGATTAAACGAAGATTAATGGATTTCTTTTATGCAAGAATTTTCACACCTCTAACATGCTGATCTGATTGTGCACTGCAAGTTTTACAAGGGATGAAAGTGTTTCTGGCCTACTAAACAGAAATGACTTCTCTCCTGGAGTTCTTATTACTGTCTCACAGAATCTTAGAGGAAAAGTCCCCTAAACAGACTCTAAACTATACACCCCTGCACCCACTAAAGGAGGGCAGCACCGTTCCCAAAGCCCTTTGGAGAGGTCACCTTTCAGGTCTGCATGAGCTGGGGCCCTCCTCTCTCTGGATCGACGGAAAAAGAAGTGGAGAAGTGCCTGTTGTACAAGTATGATATCTTTTTCACTTCACTTTCAGCTGAAGGAACGTTTTCATAACGTGAAGGAGAAGTACCTGAGTGAATACTGCTTTTCCGGAACATACATTATCACTCTCCTTCAGGAGGGTTATCACTTCACACCTGATTACTGGAAGAATGTTCATTTCATGGAAAAGGTAATTTGGGTACTTGATAGGTTGGGGGTGGGGTGATGAGATTGGGTTGTTGTGACTGAAGCAGCTTTGGATTTGAAAGAGGTAGGAATCAACCTGATTTAAGTTTTGGCCTGATGTCCCATTCTACCACTTTACCTCTAACCCAAGCTGGCATTTTGTGCTAGACCATCGGGGGCTTTGTTGAGGATAGCTTCAAAGTTGAACAATTTGAAAACTCACTGTGAAGAAGGGGAAGAGTGGCTGTGAATGGGAGGTCTTTGTTTAGAAGCCAAGCTCAGCATGAGCTTTAAAGGAAAAAAAAGAAAAAAGAAAAAAGCAACCTCATTGCTGTGCTTTACCATAGCGCCACCTGCAGGTATTCAGGCAGAGAATCATTTACATCTGCTGCATGATTCATGGGCAAATCACGCTTGAAAAAAATATCAAGAACATTATTTCTCTACATTTTATGTCCATACCCAATAATGGCAAAAACAATTTAACCCTTTATTAAATACTAGAGCCCTGGTGCAAGAAATTTGTGCATGGTGTGTGTGTGTGTGTGTGTGTGTGTGTGTGTGTGTGTGTGTCTCCCTTAGCCCGGCCTGCACCCTCTCCAATCTGGGACCCTTAGGGGGATGTCCAACTGCCAGTTTAGGCCCGATCCCTCTCACAATCCAGGACTGCTGGCTCCTAACTGCTCACTGGCCTGCCTGCCTGATTACCCCCTAACTGCTCCCCTGCCAACCTGTTTGATGCCATACTGCTTCCTTGCCACCTGATTGTCCCCAACTGCCGGCCCAGTCACCCTCAACTGCCCTCCCCTGCTGGTCTGGTCACCCCCAAATGCCCTCTCCTGCCAGCTTGATTTTGCCCACAACTGCCCTCCCCTGCTGGCTGGCCATCTTGTGGTGGCCATCCTGTGGCGGCCATCTTGTGATGATGTCACACGATATCATCTAGGCTTTTATTATATAGGATGATGATTTCAAGTAAAACAAAACATTGAAGCAGAGGACCATAGGCTTGAGGCTACTCCACTCTTGCCAAGATTGACCTTGCTTATTCAAACACGAATCTTTCCCTGTTTTAATATCCCAGTCTTCCTTTTATTCCATCAGTTTATGTTGTCTGTTTGAGGGGCATGTCTATGTCAAATTTACAAGCAATTTATATTCTCTGAACTCCAGTGAATAAGCCAATATTCCTAACCCCAGGTAATAACTAACTCTGGTACCTTCCTTGACATTCACAGTCAGATAAGGTTCCTGTCTCTCATAAAAGGAAGTGAGCTTTTTACAAATTATTAATTCCTAGTATTGATAAGAGCTTAGGAGACAGAAACATTTCCACACGGTATTGGCTGGAATGTAAATTGGCACATCCTTTGGGAAGACTGTATCAGCAGGATGTACTAAGAGCCTTAAAATATGCAACTAAATTTATCCAATTACTCCATTTTTAGGATTTATAAGTAATGGATAAAGTAAGTAAAAATGAACATATAAGGCAATTCATGACAGTGATAATGTTATAGAAATTCCTTGAGACATAGGATGACTTTACAAGGTATTGTTAAGTGAAAAATTCTACAATACATACGATTTAATTCCATTTTGGGGGAGGATAAGAAAAAAACCTTACAGAGAGGACTAGAAAGATATGTCACAAAATGACATTAGCAGCAACTTTCTGAGTGGTAAAGTATAGTGGTTTTTCTTTTCTTTTTAGGATTATACATATTTTCTAACTTTTCTACTATGACCATGAAAAACTAGAGTAATGAAAACATTTCCAAAAGTATTTATTATTCATAGATTACCTATATTCCAATAAGTTTTTTTAAAATATATTTTTATTGATTTCAGATAGGTAGGGAGAAGGAGAGAGACCTGGAAACATCAATGATAGAGGATCATTAATTGTCTGCCTCCTGCAGGCCCCACACTGGAGATTGAGCCTGCCACCCGGGCATGTGCCCTGACCTGGAATCAAACTGTGACCTCCTGGTTCATAGGTCAATGCTCAACCACTGAGTCATGCCTGCTAGGTTATTCCAATAAGTTTTGAGGCAAGTGGAAATTATTCTTAGGAAGATGTCAGGATCAGAGCATGTTTTATCATTTAAAAAGAATCCTTTCTCATGTATATGCAATTTTCAACTTCCATAAAGCAATATTGACTTACTGGGATTATTCCCCAAACTCCCCTACTTGAATCATAAAGAAGTCCTGGTTTATATGGATGAGATTCCTGGTCCTGGACATAAATGTAAAAGGCCAAGGATCAGCATTATTCTCTTACCCTTTGTCTGATTTCTGTCACCTTCTACCTCCCTCCCTTCCTCACCCTTGATCCCTGACATTCACACAAACAAACAAACAAAAAAAAAGAATGCAAATCTCCAAAGACCTATTTATGTTCTTCTGTTTAAGTTCTAAGGGAGAAATGGGCAGTCTATCACCAAGATCCTCTCTAAATTTTGGGAATATAATAGTGAGGCTCCAAACCCTCCTTCTTAATCACTTGCCTCTGCTCCATTTGCCCCACAACCAAATTCTCAATTTAGAACATAGAAGTAATCTCTGTAGAGAACTGAATGTGCTGCTTCTCCACTTTCTGGTTGCTCAGTGCTATGGATGGGTGGGAGAGGGAGATGCGTGTGAAAACTCATTTAATCCTCAGACCAGAAACAACAGATTTTCCTCATTGTTTGCAGATCCGGCACACTGACGTGGGATGGACTTTGGGCTACATGCTGAACCTGACCAACATGATCCCAGCTGAGCAGCCGATGTCCACACCTCTCCCCCATTCCACTTATGTCTCCCTCATGGTCCTCTTCTCCATAATCCTGGTCGCAGCGATTTTCATAGGCTTGATTGTGTTCCACAGGCCTTCATGTTTCCAGAAAGACAGAGTATAGCAGGAATAGCTGAAATCTGCTGGCTGGAGTGAGGAAAAAAAAAAAAAACTTGTCCAGGAAGCACTTTCCTCTGCAGTGGTGTCCAAGGTCACCCTTCCTTGCTCACCAAGGCCAGTTTTGACTTGTATGAAGCTTTTCTGGCTTTGCTGAAGTCTTTCCTTGGAAAGTATTCACCACCTTCTGCCTCAAGAACTTCCTGACGACGTCGTCTCTTTTGTGAGTCTCTCCCAAACCCTCTCCCTTTTCTTTTTTGTGCTCTGTGTTTGTGTAGGTCTTAAAAACCTGCCATCTTTCATGATCATTGCTTTAGAAAAGAATAATATTGGTTTTATTCAGAAGAAGAGAGTCCTGAATCCTGTGTTGAGAACTTGTGCTGGCTAAAAGAAGAATCTCGCTGTAATCTTACAGAATCATTTTACTCTCGTTTTGCATTTATTAAGAAAGCCATACAAAGCCTTTGGAGAGGGTAGACACACATCCCATTCCCAATTTGCCCTTTGCATGGGAGAATTTTCTCAACTAGGCAAATATGTCATAGTCCAAAGAGTCTTGTAAGGGAACTTATGTGCTTGTGCAGTTAATATTCAATCCAATCCCAAACAGGGATATGGGTGAATCATATATTCCTGGATGATACAAAAATGCTATAGAATGGAATATCCAGATCAGAGATTTTTAAAAAGCTGATGTACATATAGACATTCAGATACCAGGACATATACTACACAGTGGATGTATACATGTCAGGAAGAAAAATATAGTTACAATCAAGGGTCGAGAAATGCACACTTGGGTTCTGTTTTTACTGTAGTAAAATACATATAAAATTCACCATTTTAACAGGTACAATTCAGCAGCCCTGCATTTATAAGGTTGTACAATCATCTCCACTATCTAATTACAAAATATTTTTATCACCAAAAAAATTGACTGGAGACAAGACCATTCCTGGGTAGGCTCAAATCACCAACCTTTAAGTTAATAGGCAAGTATACTAGCCAACTGCACCACAAAGATGCTACTGAGTTTCAAAGCCGTGCCATATCTTGTTGTCCCAGTGTGTACTTTAGTAAGAGACATGCCTTTTTGCTGCCATGGTATTTACACATCAAAATGTGCCAAGAACTAGAGCTGAAAATGTTGATGCCACTTCTGTCATACAAGTAAGAGTTGCATTTACTTATTCCATGGTATATTTTGAGGGAGAAGCAGTAACTATGGACCTTGTCATGAAAATATGAAGAGACCCTGTGCCTCCTTTCTTTAGGGATTGGTGAGAATTACTTTTTCAGCAGGATGGGGTGTTGAAGTGCTACTCTGAACTTTCCCCAGGAATGACTATTGAGCTGATGTGGGGTGGGCTTGGCGGGGGGAGGGAGGAGGAAAAGCTCTCCACAAATTAGAAGCCAAATATCTCTACATCTCTTGAGTAACCAAGTCATATATATATTTTTTTACAGTATCCAGCTGAATATAAGTATGTATCTTGATCAGGAATAAGAAGTCAAATCAGGGCATGTTTAACTTCTTTCTAGTAGTAGTAACTATATTATTATAGCTAGTATTTATTGAGCATTTGTTATGTACTATATTCTCTGTCCAGGTGCATTATATTAATTTTATCATTTAATCTCCACAATAATCTCAAGGTAGGTACTACCATTCCACTTCATAGAAGCAGCAAGTGAGGCTCGGAGATGCTAAGTCACTTGCTCAAATGATTGAGGCAAAGCCTGGCATGCACTACACCCTATTTTCTCTCCCATATATACTACTAAACAGTCTCATAATTTCAAAGCATGTACTTAACTCTCTGAATGAGTACAGGGCTTATAGGCATGGTAGAAAAGGAAGTAGACAGAACACCTGTTTCATGATGGATTTGGGATTTAATATTGCTTTAAGCCCACAAAAGCTATCATGGCAACACTGATACTCTGTTCATGTAGTTTTCACGTACTTTGCATAGTAACATATGTGACATATGATGCTTATCAATGATTCCCATACTCCTGGCTTCTTAATTATACTGCTTGCTCACTGCACAGCAGTTCAGAATCAGATAAATAGTAATTGATGATGATAATGAAAATAAAAGGTCATAAAAATAGAGCCAACAATAGCTCCTTTCTTCCTTATGTCTACATATACAAAGCACCGTCAGGGACATTACCTATTCTGCACTTGATCTTAGCCAAAAGGCTGAGAAGCGATGACATTACCTATTCTGGTCCTAAAACCCCCCACAAGGTGGTATTATTTCTATTTTACAAACAATTGGCATATAAACTAGTATATGGCAGAGCCAACTCATGTCTCTGTCCCAAGTTTATTGCCTTTTCTTTTCTAAACCTTGCCCCTCAGCAAGTGGGAATTAGAACTCACAAGTTTCCTTCTGTAAACACTGAAATCTCTTCTTATTCCATTTCTGTCTTATTGCCTGGATTAAAAAAAAATCTTAAAGATATTTGGGAGCCAAACTCCACTTATTATAAGTATTAAGTCATGATTAGTAGCACAACCTCATCTGTAGTAGCGACATAGGATTTTGAGGCAGATCTAGGAATCTGCTTCTAGCCATTTTGAATGAGGAAGGCCAAGTAAAATAGGTTATATAAAAAATTTACTATTGGATTACCCACTGGTTATAAATGATTGACATTCCTTCTTAGACTTTCACCCATTCCTTTAGAAGGTGGTAAACTTTTATGTACCCACTGGGGGAAAAATCTGAAATGGTTACTTCTGTGGACAAAAGAATTTAAGTTAATTAGGGGGTGTGTGTGAGAGAGAGAAAGAGAGAAAGAGAGAGAGAGAATCAAAAGTTTCACCTTAATAAGATATACTTCATTTTAATGTTGCATCATTTAAGACCTCTATAAGAAAAATATGATACAATCAAACTGAGTGACTATGGATGGTTTAATGAAGTGACTACTATATCCAAAATATTAGCATTTTAACATGCAGTTAATATAAAAATTATTAGTGAGATGTTTATTTTTTCATATTAATCTTTTGAAGTCTGCTATGTGTAATAATACTTATTATAAATCTTAATAAGATTAAGTATATTTCAAGTTCTGAGTAGTCACTTGTTACTCACGGCTACCATATTGGACAGCACAGGTATAAAAATACATTCAAAGCCAAAAGGACACATATAATAATCCTTCTTCTTTTTCTTGGGGAGAGGCATTTTGAGAGTTTTTTTTTTTTTTTTAAAGAAGCAGCTATAGATGCTATAACCTTCTTGCTATTATTTATTATATATGAAGTTTAACATTATTCTTAAATAAGCTTTTAAGATTCTAGCCCCACATTTCACTTCATTCCTCAGGTTTTGTTGCCTTTTTTGTGAAGGGAGAGATGTCTGTTATTCAGACCAACGTGCTTGACCTTTGGAAAATTCAATCTGGATTCAAAGATAATATAAGTAATTATGATGGTCATATTTTATAGTCAAGTGCACATCTGAATATTAAATAAAGATAAGAGCTCAGAAAGCAAAGTTTACCATAAAATAGTAAAATCACTAATAAAATACAATATATTCTCCTTTATTGTCAATTTAAAAGATGAGCTGAATTTCATCCAAATGGTCAGATCCCTGTCTGATTCAGATTCTAATCACTGTTATCTTGTTAGAAATTGACAGTTGCTCCTAATTAGCTGTGCTCATTAACCATATGTTTCAGTTTGTTAGTTTTAAAATTAGTAATAACAGCTCAGCCAGTGTTGCTCAGTGGTTGAGCATCAACCTATGAACCAAGAAGGAGGTCACAATTCGATTCTCAATCAGGGGACAAGCCTGGGTTGTGGGCTTGCCCCCCCCTCCTCACGCCTCCACCCCAGTGTGGGGTGTGCAGGAAGCAGCACTCAATGATTCTCTCTTATCACTGATGTTTCTATCTCTCTCCCTTCATCTCTGAAATCAATAAAAAATGTATTTATTAAAATGACAACGAACTCAGTGTCAGTGGCTTACTATGGTAAATGTTGATTTTCTTGTTCATGGTCTGCCAGTCAGCTGGGTAGCTCTGCTTCAGGCCTGTTGCATGTGCCTCACAGTCTCCTTGCCTGGTGTCTTCCTGAGCCATGTTCTCATGCTGAATGGCAGAGGTACACGTGAGTGAGAGGAAACCTAGAATATCTCTTGACACTTTGGCCAGGACGGCCCATCACTTCCATTCACATTCTATTGACCTGAGTAAGTCATATGACCAATAACACCATTAGCAAGTTGGAAAAACACTGGAAAGAATGGCCAAGTTATATGGCAAAGGATATAGATGATTGATTCTAATACAGAGAAGGAGTGAAGCATTGGGCCCAGGTTTCCAATCTACCAAAGTGTCTCATTAACTAAAACATAAAGTGTGTTTTCTGTAAATTAATCTACTTATCTTTCTAAGGAATATTCTTTTAAAAACAAGTCATTATTTCCAAGATGTCATCAAGCTGCAACTCCCTTCCACAGCCTTAGTCAGGATGCTCTGGAAGCTCCCCAATTAGGCTCATGTTCTAAAATCGTAGATTTTCTGAAATACCATGCATCTATTTATTGTCCTAATTTTAAATGTTTAGGATCAAGTGTTGTTAAGTACCCAAGTTTTTATTTGCACATGAACCTACTCTCACAGGTATAATAGATTTTTTAATAATGGGGGAAGGAGTATCTTCACAAGCCTTTTCTTTAGAAAAGTGGCATTTAAGACTGCATGTGATAAAATCATTGCTATACCTTTTGCATTTCTCTATTTTAAATAAATTTCTAAATTTAAATTGATGATACAATGATGGCATCATCAGCACTTGAGTTGACTTTTTGTTTTTATGCTCCTTTTGTGTGTATATTGAATAGCAAAGCTCACCAGTGAACATGACAAGCGCTATACGGTCACCTAAGAACAACAAAACTCCTTAAAATTTATGAAGAGAAGGGGGAAAGTCTTGGGAGTTAAGGAGGAAATATAGTGTATTTAGGATGAGCTAAACTGAACTCTATTTTCCCTCCTAAACCTGTCCCCCCTCCTGCATTTTATCATGATTAATACCACAACTACCTCCAGTAACCAAGATCAGAATCAACTTCATCAGTAATAACTGCCCACTCTGCCTTTGCAACATTTTTCATTTTGACTCACCTTTCCAATATTATTATTATCACCTCAGTAAAGACCCGATACCAGGAATGGCGGTCTTGTTGCCAATTTATTACTGCCAGATTAATCTTTTAAAAAAACCTGGCCTAATCACATTGCTCTCCAACTAAAACTGTGCTGGTTTTCCATTGCCTACAAAATAAGGTTGAATGCTCCAACAGACATCTGTGTCTTTTGATCCATGCCTAATTCTTCATCTGACACTGTTCAGGTGTTATTTGTTCAACTTGGAATACCTTTTTCCCACTCTAACTTCAAAGCTCAGTTCAAATACTCCTTCACTCAGTGAGGTCTTCTTTAAATCTCTAAGTCAGAATCAATTGCTTCTTCCCTTTGCTTCCACAATCCTTTCTCTGGGTCTCCAGTAGAACACTGAGACCCTTCTACTCAGGATCTGGATTATACTCCTTAGGGCACACATGTCAAACACAAGGCCCGAGGGCCAAATCCGTCCCGCCAGGCCTTGCAATGTGGCCCGCACCGCGCTGTCATCACTGCACTCCGCTGCGTTCCATCACAATGACGCGCGGGGACTTAGGAGGCTTGTGATCTCGCCGGCCGCCTCGCCGGGCCGCCGTACTTGCTATCTACTACGCATGCGCATAGATAACAAGTCACGCGAGATTCAGGAGGCGTGATCTATAGTCCGGCATCCGATGTGGTTGTGCGGGTGGCAGAGCAGAGGAGAGAGTGAGTGTGCGGGCATAAAAAATACACAGCAGAAGCTGCCAGTTCCTGGCATAAAGTGCAGGCATAAAAATCGCAACAGAATCTGCTATCTGTACCCAGCCAGGCATTTATTGACTGACTTTTTTTCTCTCCACTCCATCTGCCAAATCAAGCTATCCCTGTACAGTTTTCAACTTTTTCCTTCTAACGCAGATTTCCAATAAACTACATCTTTTACTGCCAATATTGATCCCAAAATGTCCAGGAAAAGAAAAGTTGACGGTGAAGGCAGACAATTTAATGACAAATGGGAAAAAGAATACATGTTTGTGCTTAGAGAGGGCAAACCAGTGTGTATATTGTGTTATGAGACAGTGTCGGTGATGAAAGAGTACAATATACGTTGTCATTTTGACACCAAACATAATGTTAAGTATGGCAAATATACTTTGGAAGAAAAGCATAAAATTGTTAAAGAACTAAAAGGCAAACTACAATCACAGCAGCAAATGTTTACAAAGGCTACAGCGAAAAATGATGCTGCAGTGAAAGCAAGCTTTATAGTGGCTGAAGAAATTGCCCGTACTTCAAGGTGTTTTTCAGAGGGTGCCTTTTTGAAGCAATGCATGCTAAAAGTGTGTGAGCAAGTATGCCCAAACCAGATACAGAGCTTTCAAAATGTCAGTTTGTCAAGAAACACCATTGCAGATAGAGTTCAAGAACTCTCAGGAAATCTATCATCACAGCTGGCCGAACAGGCATGCAGTTATCTCGCTTTTTCACTTGCTATCGATGAAAGCACAGACAACACTGATACAGCGCAGCTGTCCATCTTTATACATGCTACGAAGACCGACCTCTCTGTCACTGAGGAACTTTTGGATGTAGCTGCCATGCATGGGACGACGACTGGTAGAGATATATTTGAGGCTGTGGAGAAATCTATAAATAATTTTAAATTACCCTGGGAAAAGTTGGTGGGTCTAACTACCGATGGCGCACCTTCAATGTGCGGAGAAAAGAAAGGCTTGGTTGGACTAATGAAGGAAAGAATGCAAAAAGAGTCACTGCCACACACCCTTGATTACTTATCATTGCATTATCCACCAAGAGGCTATGTGTGGAAAAGTTCTGGACATGAATGACATAATGACCACAGTCATTAAAACTATTAACTTTATACGGGCACGTGGCCTGAATCATCGCCAGTTCCAGCAGTTTTTACAGGAGGTGGGTGCAGAGCATGGAGACGTGCCATACCACACAGAGGTAAGATGGCTGAGCAAGAGCGCAGTCCTCAAAAGATTTTTTGAGCTCAGAGAACAAGTTGCTCTTTTCATGGAAAGTAAAGGAAAGCCCTTGCCTGAACTGTCGGATCCCGCCTGGGTATGTGATTTTGCTATGATGTGTGACATCTCGCCCAACTGAATCTGAAGCTGCAGGGACGCAAACAAGTCATCACGAAGATGTCTGACATGATCACAGCATTCCAGCGTAAACTTCAACTATGGAAGTCCCAACTGGAACAGGACAATCTTGCCCACTTTCCCGTTTGTTTGAGTATCTCAACCACTATTTCTGGTACTTTTCCTTGCAGTCGGCTGGCTACCAAAGTTAGCCGTTTACTAAGTGAATTTGAGCGGCGCTTCTCTGACTTTAGAACACAGCACTCAGGCTTTGACATCTTTGCCAGTCCTTTGTCAACAATGTGCCCCATCACCTTCAGATGGAGATAATCGAGCTTCAGTCTGACAGTGGCCTGAAATCAAGGTTTCAGGATGTTGAAATTGAGGACTTCTACCCTCTACTGCCCCCTGACTCAATGCCAGAGCTCCGACTTCATGCTGCCCGTATTCTACCCATGTTCGGGAGCACCTATCTTTGTGAACAGATGTTTTCAATAATGAATCTGAACAAAAACAAGCACAGATCACGCATTACCGATGACAACCTCCATGCTGTTTTGTGGGTTGCTACAGCCCAAGAAATAAAACCGAACATTGACTCATTGATCCGGGGAAAACGGTGTCAGACATCTAGCCAGAAAACAAAACAATGAGCATTTTAGGTACATTCCAATATTACTGTTTTGCTTGATACCAATATTACTGTTTTGCTTGATAGCATGTGAGTTGGTTAACAGCACTGTTAAGGAAAAGATTGTTCCACTCATTTTAAATTCACATTTCTGGTTAACATTGTCAGTTTATGACTGTTCAGTATACCATTCGGCCCGTGATTTAGGCTGGATTTTAGATTTTGGCCCCTTCTCTGATTGAGTTCGACACCCCTACCTTAGGGCAAGATATGTGGCCCATTTCATTTCGAACAGTTGGGCTCAGGGGGATTTTAGGAGGAACCAGGAAACAGTCCTAGTTAATCTCCCTGCCCACTGCTAAGAGGCTGGCCCATACCACTATTTATGCGTCAGTATCCTTATTTGTGTTATCTCTTAATAGGTCTATCCTCTTCCTCCAGCTTTTAAAGACCAGCTCAACTCCTGATTCCTCAATGAAGCCTTATTTGATTACCCACATTGCATCTTCCTTCTTGGACCATGCTTTTAGTTTCTGTATAGCTAACCACTCAGCATTTGATTATACATATTAAAGTAGAATTCTAAGGATTAGAATGCACATTAAAAGGTCATACGTCAAAATTTAATGTGTATATGAGTCACCCAGGGATCTTGTTGAAATAAAAAGTATTTTATTTTAATTAATAAAAAATGGTTCAGTAGGTCTAGGGTGAGGCTGAGGTCTACATTTCTAACTGGCAGATAATGCCAGTTCTGCTATCCAGGGATCTTCGGGTATCAAAGATTTTATCATTCCACAACTCTCAGGTAAGTGGTAATATACTCTGACTGATGTGCTTCTTTCGGCAGACATTCCACAGTGGGCCAGCTCAAGTGCTAATCACAAACCTTACTCCTTCCCTTACACAACAAGCCTTAGTGCTGCTTTTGTTAGGTTTCTGTACCTCTTGTGATTTCTGTCTCTCCTGTCCTCTGCCTTTGGGGACCAACTGCCTCACAATCAGTGGAGACGTGGTGTGCCTCAGAGGGATTTCTCGCAGTTTTTCTGCCCTGCTCCTAACCTTCTAGGTACTACCCTGGTGGTCTTGGTAGAAGCCTTTGGGAAAGAACTGATAGGTGATCCATAATGCAAACACACGTGCAACCTTTAAAAATTCTTTAAAACTTCAGCTGGTTTCTTATTATTTCTAAGGATTTTTTTCCTCCTTTTGTCACTCTACCAGGGGTGAAAGGGCTAGTGGCTTTCAGGAATTAAGCTCTGATAGGCTTCAACACACTATGATTTTGTAGTTTAACTAGCCAGGTGGAAGTTCAAACTCCTGTTTCTATGTACATAATTATGTGTAAAATAAAAATGAATCATAGAAAATTATTTTTTTACGAAGTTTGCAATCAGAAATGCAAACATTAGCATATGTAACTAAAAAGTCTTAATAAATCAAATAGATTTCCAGTTTTAAAAAGCAACAATTATATATACTCTATATTGCCTGTTTCCTTATATTTGTAAATACTCATACTAAAAAAATGGAAGAGCCGAAACCGTTTTGGCTCAGTGGATAGAGCATCAGCTTGTGGACTGAAAGGTCCCAGGTTTGTTTCTGGTCAAGGGCATGTACCTTGGTTGTGGGCATTCCCAGAAGAGGGTGTGCAGGAGGTAGCTGATCGATATTTCTCTCTCTCATCAATGTTTCTAACTCTCTATCCCTCTCTCTTCCTCTCTGTAAAAAAATCAATAAAAAAATATTTTAAAAATAATAAAAATAAAAAATAAATTTAAAAATGGAAGATATATCAATAAATGATGGATTTGTAATATCACAAGTTGCCTTTTGACATACTACTTTTTTTTTTTAAGGAAACTAGAGACCCAGTGCACAAATTTGTGCACAGGTAGGGTTCCTTGGCTTGGCCAGTGATCTGGGCAGGCCAGCTGGGAGAAGGGAATGCGGAAGGTTGGCAGGCTGTGGAAGGTTGGCTGTGGGAGCACACTGACCACTAGGGGGCAGTTCCTGCATTGAGCATTTGCCCCCTGGTGGTCAGTGCATATCACAGTGACCAGTCGTTCTGCCATTCAGTCGATTTGCATATTAGCATTTTATTATATAGGATAATTTTTGGCAAGTAACAATGAAAAAGGGCAGATATACATAAATGGTGAGCAGTTTTTAAAGTGAACTTCTCAGCACCAATTGTAGTCTTTCATAATGTTCTCATCAGCTCTGCAACCTACAGGCATACCATAATTAGCATCAGTAGCTTAAAAAATATGACATTTTGTGTTGTTCCATAGTTCTTGAATTTTTACCTCTATAGTAGTCAATTGAACCATCTTCTTGGAATACACATGTAGATTAAAGCCCCTGTGAAGAATATGCTCTGTCTCCTGCAGTTAAATCCATCTGAAGGATGTATTCTTCAACTATTTTCTGGACAGACTAGTCTGAAAATATAACAGAAACAAGTTATTTTTAACTTTTTTATTATTAAACTTTTCAAATATAAAAAGTAGAAGAATACACACCTATTACAGAATTTCACCAATTGTCATCATTTTGCAAATCTTGCAGAAACAGTGTTTACAATTATAATCACAGATAGAAAAGGACTTAAACTTTATGGAGGGCACTGTGCAAAAAGAAATCTACTCTTTTACCAACTGGCAAATAGCAAAGGTGGGTAGAATTATTGCATTATGCAACATGGTAAAAGGTAGCAGGGGTAAGGTACTTAATTGTACCAAAGGATGCACCTTGCATGAAAGGAGGTAGACTATATCTTACAGGGCTGTCTTCCTCCTGCTGGCAGAATTAAGACCACAGTAGCTATATTTGCTTATTCCTATTTATTTATTTATTTAAATATATTTTCAAGTTTTTCTGGCTTAGATGCTTTCTTAAAAAATATATATTTTATTGATTTTTTACAGAGAGGAAGGGAGAGAGATAGAGGGCTAGAAACATCGATGAGAGAAACATCGACCAGCTGCCTCTTGCACCCCCCCCAGCGGGGATGTGCCCGCAACCAATGTACATGCCCTTGACCGGAATCGAACCTGGGACCTTTCAGTCTGCAGACCGATGCTCTACCACTGAGCCAAACCGGTTTTGGCTGCTTATTCCTTTTTAGATTATGAAGTTAAAGAGAATAGCAGAATAATTTTGATGTAGCAGTAAATCAATGAGTTACATTACTTACAATCTCTTAGAATACCTGACCCTGAGAAGCTGAAAAAGGCTAATCAATCATCTATTTTAAATTTAAGTTTTGCTTTATGTTTAAATCCAAACCTCTCTTTCTTAAGGCTGCTTTTAAAAAATATAGATATTTTGTATTGATCTCAGAGAGGAAGGGAGAAGGAGAGAGGGAGAGAAACATTAATGATAACATTACAGAGAAAAATGCTGAGAGTTCAAAACATTTTTAGTATAGAGAGGCTTCAAGATAATTTTTAAATTCTATCAGTTTATAAATATACATATATACATAACACACATGTGTTAAAGAACAAACTCTAGTATTATATATACATAAGTATGTATATTTGTATATGTCTATACATAAATGTATATGCATTTGTATAGGTGTGAGCACATGTGTGTAAACTCAGAAGAAATTCCAGTATTGTATATGCACATGTGCACATGTGTGTAAGTCGTAGAAGAAATTCTAGTACCATCTGATAGCCTTGATTCAGTTTTAGATATATTGGCAGAATAAAGACAAATTATTACTTAAGAGATTTTGAAGGAATCATAGAGATTACGTAGCTCAGATTTGCCAAATTGTTTGGAGTTTGCCAAATAGTACCTTATATCATGGAACTCTGTGGGGAAAACAGAATTCTATGCTCAAGGTGAGGAAAAGGTGGGTTAAAACAAATTTTTTGTTTTACTTCAGGAATTCTAAGGGCTTTTAATAAGCTGATGTTCATGGTGGCAGCAGTTTGCATTTTCAAAAACTTATTTGATTAAAAAGAACTCTTTCATCCTGTAAAACATCTAAGAGAACACTAGTTTCATTTGTCCTTAGAATACAGCATAGGAAAAGCTTACTAAAAAAAAACAAAACAAACAAACAAAAAAAAAACCCAGAAACAAATGTAAGCATTTTTGTTTGTAAAGCGAAGATGTCAGGTCTGGCATCCCTTTTTTTTTTTTTTTTAAGACTTTGAAAGTATGAAATTCCTTCCACTAATAGCAAGCTGAAGAAAGAAAGAAAAGAAGAGAGAGAGAGAGAGAGAGAGAGAGAGAGAGAGAGAGAGAGAGAGAGAAGAAAAAGGAGGAGGAGGAAAGGAAAGGAAAGGAAAGGAAAGGAAAGGAAAGGAAAGGAAAGGAAAGGAAAGGAAAGGAAAGGAAGGAAAGGAAAGGAGTAAAGGAACGGAAGGAAGAAGGAAGAAAGGAAGAAGGAAAGAAAGAAAGAAGGGAGGAAGGAAGATTGAAGGGAGGGAGGGAGGGAGGGAGGGAGGGAGGAAGGAAGGAGGAAGGAAGGAAGGAAGGAAGGAGGAAGGAAGGAAGGAAGGAAGGAAGGAAGGAAGGAAGGATCCCTAGAATATCCAGGGCGCTCTTGGGGATGCCACACGCGAAGCACCTGACATCCAAGAACTCCTGTGCTCCGGCCAGGCAGAGGCAGCGGAGACAGACGGCAGGTGGCGTGAGTGGGTGCCCCGCGCCCTCACCCGCGCCTCCGGCCCCTCGGCGCACCCTCCCGCCACCCTCGCCCGCCAACACTCCCCAGCGCACCTGAGGACGCCAGCGACCGCTCTTCGACTGGACGGCGGGCTGGGGAGCATCCTCCCCGGGGAAGGCCCGCTCCTCTGGAGGCTGCGGGCCCGCACCGGTCTATCCTTCACCTCCACGCGAGAGGTGCGGGGCTCCCACGGCCCAGGCCACACCTTTCCCCCGGAGCAGCTGCGGCCACCTGGCACACATCCAGGTGGCGGGTGACCCAGGCTCCCACCGTGCAGTCACTGTGGAGGCGACGGCCCGAGTGACAGCCGCGGCGCTTCGACTGGAGCTGCACGTGCAGGGAGCGCGGGAAAGGACTTCGCGCACACGTGTCCCGGGGCGCATGCTCCGTGCACCGCGGCGCTCTGTGCATGTCGCGCATGCTCCTTGGCCGCCGCCGCGGGCGTTCCGGATGCCAGTCTGCAGCTGTGCGGGGCGGTTGGTGACTTCCAGTATGCGGTACATGGTCGTTCTGCCTTCGCCACCAAGACAAAGCGAGAGTACACTGTCTGCCCAGGTGAATGTTGTGTTCTGCCGCTTAAAGCCCCTCATCCCTCCTCTGTCGAGCTCCCCTGTATGTCGCCAGGTTGGTGTCCTGTACCATGGGAAACACAGCGGGGGACCCGGGTAACCAGGGCCGGACCCGCACGGGCCTCTGGGACTTGTAGTCTCCAGAGCCTGTCCATCCCATCTTAGTGCTTGAGTGGTATAAAATCCTACACCATTTTACTTAACTGAGTGCCTACTCTATGTTGAGCATCTTGCTAGGATGGGTGGAGGGTAGGTGAGGGCTCGCCCCAGCTCTCACTTTAGGGCAGGCATCAAGATGAACTTGGAAAAAATGGGATGTAATGAACAAAAATTACGAATTCAACGTGCTATTGGTGGTCACCGAAGAGCATGATTTCAGAGACACTGCCAATTGTAAGTTAGTATCCTTGAAGAGAAGATTGGGTTTACCCAATTTAACTATTGGAGCGAGTTTTCTAACACAGAAAGTTGAATTGCTTGAAGAAGGTAAAAGTGTGAGTCATAATTTTTCCACATTAGGGAGTTCACAAAGGATTCATCATGCTATGTGACAATAAATAAACTAATATAAAGATAAAATTGGCTTTTGGACTGAATTCAGTTCTACTAAGGAAGGAAAATGGATTGATACATTTGTAAAGATTTCCATCAGCAGCTGGGGGAAAACTAAAGGAAAAACAAAATTCCAGTTAGCTCATAATTACCAAAGAAATACTACTCTGTGCCAGAATATGCATGTTGTGACCATTTCATACTCTGGAGACTTTCCCACAATTTTATTCTACTAACATTCTTGAGACCAAATGGCATGTGACTGAAGGTGATTGAATATTGTACTAAATTTACACAAACATAAAATAGGTTTTAGGAATTTTCATTTGAGGGATCACCATAGTGATGAAGGCAATGTTGGATTAATTTGCAGAACCCAGAAATTTCTAAACGCTAAGCAAAAAAGGCTGAATGAACTACTTGACTTTAATTCTCAGGCTTTCACTATGGACCTTCAGGTCCTCTGATATAAAAATATCGAGTCTCAATTGCCTTATTGTTTAGATTCTAAACTTTAGAAAAAGCTTTCACTGCAAGAATTGTAAATTAGCATTATTTTTGGAGAGAATATTGGATTTAACTGTTGGAGCAAGTTTTCTAACCCAGAAAGTTGAATTGCTGTAAGAAGGTAAAAGTGTGAGTCACAATTTTTCCTTTCTTCCACATGATATATTCAATAGAGCAGATGAAATTTTCATCTACATCTTCAATTTTATCCAATATTTTGTTTATAATCATTTACCTTTTATCCTTTATGGAATGGTAAATGAACCAGGTTAGAAACATCTCCAGGTATATGAAAATATTTGATTAATAATTTCTATTATAATAAGGTTTTCATTTGGTAATTTAACGATGTATAGGATTATCGCTGCTAATGATTTTTGTAGATTAGCAGATAAAATTTTCGGATATAGGCATCAGTAAGCAAGCTATTAATTTTAAGTTCCTTTTAGAAGTCCTTGAAAATGAAAAGTAAATTCAAAATTCTCTTCTCTGGAACTAATTGACATCTTCAGAACATTCCACCCCAAAGCTACAGAATACACATTCTTCTCAAATGTACATGGACATTTTCAAAGATAGATAACATGTTAGGACACAAGCTAAATCTTTATATATTCAAGAAGATTGAAATCATATCTAGCATATTCTCAGATCACAATGGCATGAAATTAGAAATCAGCTACAGTAAAAATGCTTAAAAACAAATACATGGAGGCTAAATAGCATGCTTTAAACAATGAATGGGTTACCAAAGAGAACAAAGAAGAAATAAAAAACATCCTAGAAACAAATGACAATGAAAACACAACAACCCAAAATCTATGGGACACAGTGAAAGCAGTCCTAACAGGGAAGTTCATAGCACGACAGGCCTACTTCAAAAAACAAGAAAAACTGGTAATAAGTTATCTAACACTACAACTTAAAAGTCTGATGCTCTACTGACTGAGCTATCCGGGCCCTTACAAACACTACAACTTAAAGAGAACAACAAGAAAAGCCCAGAATAAGTAGAAGGAATGAAATAATAAAGATCAGAGTGGAAATAAATGACACAACGAAAAAAAATAATAATACAAAAGATCAATAAAAACCAAGAGCTGGTTCTTTAAAAGGATAAACAAGATTGATGAACAAAACAGGAAACAAACAGAGATAAGCCAAATAAACAAAATCAGAAACAAAAGAAGTGAAGTAACAACTGATTTCACAGAAATACAAAGGAAGTGTAAACAAATACTATAAATGAGTTTAGTCCAACAAACAAAACAATCTGGACAAAATGGGTATATTCCTAGAAAAACACAACCTTCTAAAATTCAATCAAGAATCAGAAAACCTAAATAGGCTGATAACTACTGATGAAATTGAAGCAGTAATAAAATACACTCCCAGCAAATAGGCTTCCACATATTTTAATTAAAGTTACTCCTAGGTATTTGCAAAAGTTTTATATTACTATTATGAAGTGACCTTTTTCTGTTAGCATATAGGGAAGCTATTAACTTTGGCCTATGTTCCTTTATTCAGCTACTTAACAACTTTCTAATTATGTCTAAACTGTTTTCATTGAGTGTTTTGAGTTTTCTATGTGAAAAAACCTATTTCTACAGACAAGGATAATTTTGTCTTCTCCTTTTCAATAGTTATACCTCTCCTTTTCCATGTCTTATTGCAGTAACCAGAATTTCTATTAAATACTAAAGGTGATCAACTACTGTTTACTAAAGGTGAGAATATATTTATTTAATTTTCAGTTAAATTAAAATTTTAAATAACATATTATCTCAAGTATCATAATAGTTGTTTTATTTCAGTAATATACTCTATCATTCTTAAGACTATTTCTTATTTATTTAGAAATGAAAGAACCATCATCATGAAAAAGATCTCAAAGCGAAAACAAGATATTAAAAAGGTAAGGTATTAATGGAGCTTATAAGGATTTTGATGACACTAAATACCCAATGATCAATGCAGTATAATCCTAAAAATGTGATGTATTTGGTTCTATACATAAATCACATGCACATATGTTAAAAAATAAATAAGACATATTAGGGATCAATTATTTGATCTGTCAGTTATGTAATAAAGAACATTAGAAGCGAGTTATATATTATTTATTCCCTTACTTAAATATTAACTTTATCTTTTCTCAGCCAGTCAGCAATCCATTTCTGCTTTGCTAAAAATAAAATGCTTTTCTTTTTTTAATCAGTGAGTGAAGCATATATAGGACTGAGATTTACATGTCTTTTAATCCAATTAAAATTCATTTTATTTTATTTTTCCATAACCATTTATCCCCTCTATGCTCTCTTGCACTTCCATCCATCTTCCCCATTGCAATCACCAAACTGTTGTTCATATATATGAAGTTGCACATTTATCCCTACTTCTAGATGGGGAGGGAAAGTTATAAATCCTGTGAATGCTAGACAAGATTATTGGGAATTAAAGGGAGACCTCTATCAATCACTTGCTAGGATTGATATCTCATCATACTTACAAGGATTACTGTCCCTTGGGCAAGGATAAAATTAGGTATTTTTAATTATGTTGAAGAAAATACTGAAGGCCTAATAAGAACACAACATCTTAGTTCATGTTGACCTTATTCATTCGTTCTTAAGGATGGTACAGGAGCTACTGGTGGATTTTGAAGTTCTTTCAGAAAGTGTGTAGACAGAGCTCTTATTGTGATAGTAATATCTTTACTAGGATCGTCTCGATACTTTGCTTTGGCTTTTGATACGAATCTATATCTTTACTGTGATAGGAAAGCTGATGTGTATCTTCTTGCTCTTTCCACTCCAACTACACATTAGTTTGGTTAGCATGTACAGTTGTTATTTAAGGAGTCTTTTACTGTTCTATTTCTTAAACTTAACATGAAAAACGAACTTATCCATATCATTCTAAATAAGGATTTAACATTGCTAGTATGGTTTAATTTTTAGAATACTGAGGTTTAAAAAATAGTAAAGGCAATAAATTCTCATTTTAGCAGATTGATAATGATAGGACATTCAATTACAAATACTAGTAGGCAGCTAGAAATATGGTATTCACAAAACAGTCAAGGTTGGGACAGATTTAGGAAGCCATGAAAATACATGCACTCTCTAAAGCCTTGGAATGAGCCCACATTTAAGCTGTGAGAAGTGTGACCTTTGAAGATACAGAGAATAAGTGGGTAAAAATCAAGAGTATAAAATGTTTTAAGATAATAAAGATGCCCAACATCAGATGCTGCAATGAATCAGATAAAAGCTAACACTGATACAGTATTGAGTTTCAAAGTATTTTTATATGTCTGACCTCATTTGAACCTCCTAAAATGTATATGAGGAAGATAATATATGATTACTGAGAACTAAACATTGGGTTTTATTATTAAAAGGTCCTTTTTGAGCCCTGGATAGATGGCTCAGTTGATTAGAGCATCTTTCCATATAGCAAAGAGTTTTAGGTTCAATTCCAATAGATGTTTCTCACATAGATATTTCTTTCTCACATAGATGTCTGTTTCTTTCTTTCTTCCTTTCTTCCTTTCTCTTTCTCTCTCTCTCGTGTGTGTGTGTGTGTGTGTGTGTGTGTGTGTGTATATATATTCATATATATATATACATATATATACATACATATATATATATATATATATATATATATATATATATATATCTCCATCCTCAGGTGAGGATAAAATTTTTTTTTTAAAAGGTCCTTTTTGATGTTACAGAGAGCAACTTCTTAATTAAAAGCCCACCATATATATAAAGAGATCATACCAACTGATAAAAAGATGAAATTTTAAGAAAATAGGCAAAGGCTATGAATTGGCATTTTAAAGGAGATGACTTTCAAAGGGGTGATGGACATTTGAAAAGATGTTCAATGACAAAAAAAATGCAAAGTGACTTTCACCCTTCCTCCCCCCTTTTTTTTTAATAGATGTCTGAAGAGACAGATGATATTGCAGTAGAAGAAAATGTAGGCAAGCATCTTCAAAAAGGTCCTCAATAAGTATACCATAATTCTGATGCTGTTGGTTCTTATTTTTAAAAGATGTAAATGACTAATACTATCATAGGGTTTCAGCTGGGAACACAAGTTTATTAAGAGATGAATTCAAATAGAAACTAAACTTCCTAGATAATACAAAATGGGCACAAGGAAATAATTAGTAAAGTCTATATATGTGATGAAAATTTTTATTAAGATTTTATTTTCTCTCTCTCTGCAAACATGGAGAATCTATGAGTGTTTGAAACTGTATTACACCATAAAGATATATAGATGTAGAACTTGCTTCAGGCAGTTCTAGATCTTGAGAAATATACATAAATAATGGTTGAACCCTAGTTCATTTACTATTATTGAGCACATATTATATGACCCCGCCCCTGCCATTCTAAGTTCTGGGAATAGAGTATAAACAAACCAACTAGTCATTTTAAAATTATACCAGGAAATACTGCAGTTAAGAATGAAGATTCTTATGATCTATAGTGGTTTAGCTTTTTATTACCCGTTGTTTCTACTATTCTCTATGCAGCCTTTAAGTAGTCAGAAACAGGGAGAATAAAAAGAAAAATGCAAGGTAAAATGACCAAAAGGCCCTCCACTTGCTACTATACCTAGGACTGTTCAACTCCTGTTTTTCTCAGTTCATCTGGGGGATCATCTAGCGGAAGAATAGAAAATAACACATAGTTTGGGGTGCATACAACAACTGGAATTCTCTTTATACTCTTCAAGACTGTTTCATTTTAAAAGCTTGCAGAAGTATGGCTCCCCAGATTTTACAAAACTGACCAATTGATACATAGAAACGTATCTCTTCCTTTTAGATTCCTTACTCTCCAGTTTCATCAACTTGAAGTAACCTGTCATTGATATTTGTATATTCTGTAGAGATTAAACATTATATTTGTATATTCTGTATAGAGTATAACTGTTCTTACAGATTTTTTCACAAAAGGAAAAAGATAAAGTTTTGCTTTTCTGAGTATCTCCCCTCACCCCGACCTAACTACAAAGAAGGACTATAGCCAATAGCTGAAAACATACAGAGTAAGGGAAACAAAATCTAGTCCTGAGCGTGTATAATGAAAATATTTACTCCAGATGGAAAAGGGGGAAGGGACATCTATTTGAGGTTCTAAGCCCTCATGGAGCAATGTCCCAGTCTTCATAATTATCATGATCCTTAAAAATGCATGCAATTTAGCTATTTAATGAGCTATTGTTGTTTAGTTATTTTCAAAAGTGTCATGAGCTCTGTATTATGTTGGCTTCTTAATAGGTTTAGATGCAGAAGAAGAAAATAAAAACATAATAGAAATGTTGAGAAGCAAAGTAAGAGAAAAGCTAAAAAATGCTAAGGTAATGCTTAATTTTTTTTCTTTTCTGGTTTTAAATTTAATATTTAAATGCAACATGTATTAAATTAATTTTTCTTCTTTTAAAAAGAGCCAAATTTCAGTCTTAAATATAGCTCCTTAAATCCAAATACTGCAAGTTCTTTTCCATGTTTTTCTTTTTTTTTCAAACCTAAATCCAAGAAAAGTTAAGCGATTTGGTCATGGAAACTATATATGACATCTCAAACGGAAACGTCTACATACTTCTTAAAATAAAACATTGAAAAGTCTTGGTTTTTATTCATTTTGAACAAAAGACTTAGGTTTTTCTGTGAAGATTAAGTTTTCTATATCATTTATGTTATTTCAGGTTAATCAAAGTGAAAAATCTTCAACTAATCTGCTCATTGATAATAAGATAAATCAGTGGTCTAAGGTGAGTAGCTTCTCTTTTTTTTTTTAACCCTAAAAGACAGCTTTATTGAGATACACTTTATATAGCAAAAATTCACCCATTTTAAGGATATGGTTCAATGATTCTAAGTAAATTTAGATGTATTAAGTCAATATTGTAATGCAATTTTAGGCAGCTAGATACAAATAGGATATAAAATAAGCTTTTATATTTTATGTACTTTAAGATTATTTTACTCTTAATGACTAAAATAAGAGTAAATTATTTCTCTCTCAAACCTCCTTAAAATCAGTCCGTTTTAATATGTGTATGAGAAGAACGTGGTAAGGGCTTTACACTTACAGTATTGAAAAAGGAGAGTTTATTTTATCAGCAAGTTTATAACTATGAGCATGTCACTTTAAATACTTTTAACTACCTCTCACTCTATAAAACATTGTAGACCACACATATTTGTGAAAGCACCTAAAAATGGGGAGAGAAAAAGCCATTTGCCCTGAGCCCACATTTTGATAGAAGTGTAAGGTGATACTCTTAATATTCTGACTAGAGTGAAGAGATAGGGAAGATGGAGAAGATTTAGACTCTATTCTGTTTTTTTATTGCAGTTACCAGAACCTTAAAACAAAAATTCATAAGTCAGACTTGAAGTTAAATATAACTTGACATTGTCTCTTCTTCTGCTCCTTGCTCATGAATCAGATAATAGTTACCACTCCACTTATTACTACTTAACTTACTACCTTTCTTTCATGTATAAGCAGAAAAAGTATTCATTTCACCACTGAGTACTGCTTTTCCATTGTTTAATCCACAGACTGAAGTCTCATTGGAGGCAGGCCTTTCGTTTTTCACTCTGAGCGGTGAAGAAGGCTCAGCTTTGGGCCAGTCTTCAGAGCAGGTGGATTTGTACCCCTTCCTCCATCACCTCATTCTCAGGAAAAATAACTTGTTAAAGGCAAAGAATGATGAAATTTTTATTATTGAGCCACCTTGTTCTCTCTGAATTGAGCTATTCATAATAATTCCCAAAACTTATTGAGCGCTTACTGGATACGCAGTGACACACTAAATTTTTAATGTGGATTGTATCATTCATTCCTCATAGAAATTCTGTAAGGCAGGCACTGTTATTGGCTCTGTTTTATAGGCGAGGAAACTAATGTGGGGTTAAGCATTGGTAGAGTTGGGAAATATAGTCTGTCAGCTGCAAAGCCCGTGTTTTCTCTTTCTTCTGTTGTTCCTGTCCTTCTCTCCAAGTGCCCCAACTCTGTTACTCTCCATAGAGTCCCTATGTCCATCCCTCCTAGTCCAATCCTAGAGTCTTCCAATTTTTGCCACTTCTTCCCTCTTCTCTTCAAACTCCTCAGCCCCTCCTATTATTCCCTGGTTGTCCTTTCCTCCAGTCTCACTAGGCTCTCCCCATTGCCTCTTCATTTGTCAGCCACTTTTATTAATCGTCCTATCTACTCATGTCCCTCTGTAATTTTCTCTAATTCCTCTCTATCTTCAAGTCTCACCACAGTTTCATTGAGTCCCCTCCCCAAGTACCTCTTATTTCCCAGAATTCTTTCTATCTACTAACATCTCTTAGTAATTTCCAAATCCCTCAGGCCTTCCTTTGGGGTCCCTCTTGAACCCCCATTTGCCTTTCTACTGTACACCATTATTAGTCTTCCTTTACAACATCCCTGATGTGGGCCTTACCTCCGAAGGCAAGTTGAAAGCCCTGGCCCACATCAGGGATGCTATAAAGGAAGATTGATAATGGAGGCTGCAGCTGGAACAAAGACAGCCTTTTTTGTCTTATGATCGGAATCTTCAAAAAGATCCCCTATGTGAGGATCTCCCAAATCTTGCTTCTAGATATCAGTGCCATACTTTGTTTGAATTCTGAAAAAGATACCATAAAGATTTCTAGATATAAAATACTTTCATTTTTTAAAATCCTCACTTGAGAATATTTTTTCCATTGCTTTTCAGAGAGAGCAAAAAGGAGGGAAGGAGGGAAAGAGGGAGAGAGAGAGAGAGAGAGAAAGAGAGAGAGAGAGAGAGGGGGGGGGGGGAGACATTGATGTGAGAGAGACATACCAACTGGTTGCTTCCTGCATGAGCCCCGACTCTAGATGTGGAGCAAACCAGCAACCAAGGTATGTGCTTTGACTGGGAATCAAACCCAAGACCCTTAGTTTTGTGGTCCTATGCTCTAATCATTTAGCAACATGGGCGAGAGCATAAAATACTTTCTTGATTTCATGACAGGGATAGGAGACAGGGTTTAATGGTTATTTATTCCATATGAACCTAGATGATGCTAACTATGTTCCTTAATTTTGTCAGACCTGATCAGGGCATGTAAGGTACTCTATTCAAAGACACTGTGATTAATTTTTTTATTTAATTATTTACCCCTAAATATATATTTTTTAATTGAGGGGTTTTTATTTGCATGACTCACACACTCTCTGTCTCCTCTTTTTCAATATGGGTCAATATTAAATTAGACAATTAAGTCATTCAAAATGAATTGATTTTTGTGTGTGACTCACAATTCATGATCATGATATAAAAGTATGCATTTTTATATTTAGTAATATATTTTTCAATACCTATATTCAGATTATAACTTTTATACATAGCATGTTTTCAAATTTCACTACAATCACTCTGCTTTAGACTTCAATGTTGAATCTTTACTTTTCTTCTTTATTTTTCTTGAATGTCATCCAGGAAACATCAGGGATGCTCCACAATCACTTTAGATACTATTGCTTTCTGAATAGCAAAAAAAATGGGATTTAAGACCACATGTATCTGGACTTTTTTGATAATGGAGGCTGCAGCTGGAACAAAGAGAGCCTTTTTTGTCTTAAGACCACATGTATCTGGCCTGATGTATCTGGACTTTGCTCTACACTATGAATTCTCAGTGATGTGTCATAGTCCAATATCTCAGGCTATTTTTCCAAAGGAGAGGAGGGACTTGAATTATAATTCTATTTCATTAATTTTCCATTGAAAATTGCAAGGAAGTGCTATAGAAAAATCATATTATAAAAGATTAAGCCTTCAATGAGTTCCTCTATGTTCAGTGAAATTTCATTATAACAGTTTAAGCTTGACCTTGAACTGGGTAGCATGGATCAGAAGGATAATAATGTATACTTATTTTTATCTTTTGGTATTCAACAGAGATTATTAAATGATAGCTACCCTAAACATTTATTACTTGGTGATAATTTACAAGATTTTGCTGAGAGCCATGATAAAGATTATTATATGGAAGAAGTAATTTTTCCAGATTTACTTGAAGTAAAAGCTGCTGAATATGAAGATGATCAAGAACAAATCAAGAGACAACAGGCAAATATTTTTGTGCCAAGTAGTTCCTCAGGTAAAGTTCTTGTACAATAAAATATTTAAGTAATTAATGAATTATATTAAAGGATAATAGCTTTTTTGGATAGATAGATAAAATGTATGATCTAGTCCCAGTTGGTGTAGCTCATTTGGTTGGAACATCTTCCCATATACCAAAAGGTTATGGGTTTGATTCCAGTCAGGGCACATATGTAGGTTGCAGGTTTCATCTGGAAGGCGACAGATGGATGTTCTGTTTCACATTGATGTTTCTGTTTTCCTTTCCTTTCCCTCTTTCACCCTCCTCTCTCTCCCTCTTCCTAAAATCAATAAGCATATCTTCAGGAGGACTATTCTTAAATTATAGAATATTTTCTATATTTGTTCTTCATGCCTTCCCTGGGTTTAAGAGGATTGATTAGAAGAACTCATTGTGTGTGTGTGTGTGTGTGTGTGTGTGTGTGTGTGTGTGTATTTAAGCTTGCTGCTAGACTTTAGTTCCCCTTTGCTTCTTGTTTGGTCAATACCAGTTTAACATGTTGGACTTTTGAAGTAATATATAGGTTTTGTTATTAAGTGGTCAACCAACGTAAATTGCCGAAAAATATGATGCCACGCATTTTAGAAGATGAAGGATTCTATATGCAGAGAAAGCCAAAAATATATAAAAAGACCTGCAACAAAATGGAAAATCGCCTGCTTCAACAAGAAGAGGCAAGTGCACCACCTAACAAGTTAAATCACTCACTGATAATATGTGATATTTATTTTTGATGAAATATTTAATTACTATGTTTCTTAAATATTTTTGATAGGGAATGTGTTGGTTTGAAGAAAGTGCTGAAATAATGTCATTACCTTCACCTATTAGCCAGTCATGGAAATTCAGACTAAACATAAGCAAGGAATCTTTAAATCCAGCATTAAAGACCATATACAGGAAGGTAACCAATAATAATTTACTTGTAATTATGGTTAGAATTCTTGTAATATTGATTATAACTTACATTTTTGTGTTGTTAACTCATCCTTTGAATATATTAATGTCTACTAATATACTAATAATGGCAAAACTATGATGAAATGCTAAATATTCATTAAAATTATGTTTTTGAGGAATATGTAATGATATGGGTAAATGCTAAAAATAAAATGTAAAGTGAAAAAAAGCAGAATGAAAAATTAAATCTGGTCCTAATTTTATAAAAATAGATAATGAATGAATTTACCAATGAATGGACAAGTTCGTATATGTGTACATAGATAAAAAGACTGAAAAGTCTATCAGAGTAAATAATTATCTCTAGATAGCAGGATAAGATTATTTTTATTTTGCTCAAGATATAGCACAGATATTTTAACATAATTATCAGAGATCATTGCTGTTGGAGAGAGTCCTTGAAACAGTGGAAGCTTGTTGAATGAGTGAGTACATGAATGAATGAATGAATGGATGAATGAACAAAAGGATGGTAGGTAAATACAAAACATATAATTTTTGGGAAATATTATCCACCATCCAGATTACCCTTTGTAAACATCCAGAATCTGATGTTGGATACCATTGGGCTGAACAAGTAACTTTTTCGTCCAATGCATCATCCAAGCACAATTTCAGTATTCAATAGACCCTTAGAGTTGGGAATAAATATATATGTCACTTCACCAAGCATCTAAACTGAGTATTAAAATTCATTCTATAGTATCATTAACAGGCAATGTGCTGAAAGTTGTGTCAGACAACGATGTTTTTTAATCTTCACATGAAGATATTTTTTTTCATTGATTTCTACAGAGAGTGAAAGGGAGGGAGGGAGGGAGAGAGAAGCATTGATTTGAGAGAGACACATGGATTGGTTGCCTCACTCACGTGCCCAAACTGAGCCTGCAATGGAGGTATATGCTCTTTACTGGAATCAAACCCAGGACCCTTCAGTCTGTGGGCCGGTGCTCTGTCCACTGAGCAAAACTGTCCAGGGTGGAACAGTGTTTTTGTTTGTTTGTTTGTTTTTTTAAAAAATACTTTATTGATTTTTCACAAAGAGGAGGGGAGAGGGATAGAGAGCTAGAAACATCGATGAGAGAGAAACATCGACCAGCTGCCTCCTGTATACCCCCCACCGGGGATGTGCCTGCAACCAATGTACATGCCCTTGACCAGAATCGAACCTGGGACCTTTCAGTTCGCAGGCTGATGCTCTATCCACGGTTTCGGCAGAACAGTGTTTTAATAAGGGTTAACCATTTAATTTTGGTCCACAGATGACTAATATATCATCACATAGTCAAACTATTGACTCAGCAGTTCTGAACACCATTTGTCATACTGTTCCTGTAGGAAATTTTTTGGGAGCTTCCAACTTGAAAGTTCAACTTCTATCAACACATAAAAGTATTATAAACAACTAGAAGTCTGGTGCATGAACATTCGTGCACTAGGGTGGTCCCTCAGCCTGGCTTGCGCCCTCTCCCAGTCTGGGACCTCTTGGGGGGGAATGTCCATCTGCCAGCTTAGACATACTCCCTGGGGTATGGGGCCTAAGCCGACAGTTAGACATTCCTCTGGCAGCCTGGGAACCCTTGGGGGATGTCCAGTTGTGGCTTAGGCCCGCTCCTCTGTGGCCACCTCTATGGAAGGTACAGTGCCAGGATGGGACAGTTCCACGCCACCACCTCTCCTGCCCCCTCTGTAGAAGTGGGAAGGGTGTGCCGGGACCATCACGGCTGACCTGGCAATGCAGGCTCACTGGCCCCACCCCCCCTGGTCATTCCAGCAGGTCATTCTTGAAGTCATTTTGCTGTCCAGTCTAATTAGCATATTAGTTCTTTATTATATAAGATAACTGATAGCAAGATTATTAAAATGCTGTACTATAAACATATAGGGTGTCCCCCCAAAATTTATACACACTTTACAGCTGATAGCCCAATTGTGTTTCTTTTCATATTTTAACCCATTAGAATTAATAATTATTCGAAGTGTGTATACATATTTTTGGGACACTCTGTATGAAATCATAATCAACTTCAAGAAAAAAGGATCAAATTATTCGTTTTTTTTATTTTCTGTGTCTTTTAATTTTCTTACAATTAATATGTTACTTTCATAAAAGGTAATTTAAAAAGAAATAGAACCAAATTAACTTTGTGTACACACTTTTCCTTAAAGGCAGTGAAATCTGATCTAGAAAGCTCTATTAGGACCAAAATGGAAGGTCAAGGGAAAATGTACCAATTAGATCTCAACATTGTGGGTTTGCAATTTAGCCATCATCCTGTCTTCAATCAAGAACAAGTATTATGTGCTAGGCTGCTCCAACTTTATGAGTGTTTTCAGGACAGGCAGCAACAGAATTTATCTCAGCTCCTTTTAGAGAAGGTGAGGATGGTTTTTATTATATTACTGGGCTGAACATGTAATATTGAAAGAGTAAATAAACCTCTTAGTATAGAGCAAGTTATCATAGGACATTTTCCTTAGCACTTTAATTATTTAACTAATAAGAACAATGGTTGATTTCAATTTTTCTAAAAAGAAACTGTAGAAGTTGCAAGATATGTAGCACTTATAAATGGTTTACTGATCACTGGTATTCTTGGTCCTATGACTTAAGAAGAATATTTGAAATGATTTAAAAGAGTCATATGGCTGTTTTAAGTCTTGTTATAAAGTATTTTTTATAAAAATATCAGCAATTTATATCTCAGATCAAATGTGAGGAGTCTTAGTTTAAGAATGATCAATTCAGCCCTGATTGACTTGGCTCAGTGGATAGAGCGTCGACCTGCAGAATGAAAGGTCCCAGTTCGATTCTAGTCAAGGGCATATACCTTGGTTGTGGGCACATCCCCCGCAGGAGATGTGCAGGAGGCAGCTGATCTATGTTTCTCTCTCATCGATATTTCTGACTCTTTCCCTCTCCCTTCCTCTCTGTAAAAAATCAATAAAATATATATATTTTTAAAAATGATCACCCTAACTGGTTTGCTCAGTAGATAGAGCGTCGGCCTGCGGACTGAAGGGTTCTGGGTTCAATTCCAGTCAGGGGAATGTACCTTGGTTGTGGGCACATCCCAGTAGGAGGTGTGCAAGAGGCAGCTGATCCTTGTTTCTCTCTCATTGATGTTTCTAGCTTTCTATCCCTCTCCCTTCCACTCTGTAAAAAATCAATTTTATATATATATATAGACATAGCTCAGACTGCAGCAGTATCGAAGCAGTACAGTCAGTGTTTAGGAACCAGGAGTGTCATGAAACCACATAGACTCTCAAAATTCAATTATTAATAGGATATTTTAGGAGACAAGGCAGTAATATATCAAATTTATATATTTGTGCTTCTACTGCACAAACCTAGATCTATAGGTGAATTGGGATGATGGTAACAGATAAATGAAATGTACCCAAAAATGATCTTTTCTTTGTTGTAGCTTAAAGCACTGACACATGCTACCAAATTATCAAATGATGATTTGGAAGTGAGCCAGCTGACTGGAAAATCTTTACAAGATTATTATTGGCAGATAAGGTAGGTTTGGGGCCTTTCATGTATTCATCAAGCATTTATTAAGTAACTTTTTTTTCACTTGCTATGGAAAATTTAAAACAAGAAAAAGATTCTCTACTCTTTAGGCATTTACAGAAAGGGTTCCAACCTTTCCTTAAGACCCATTTTTTTTTGTGTGTGTAAAAATATATCACAGATGTGTCATATGAAAGTGGTTATAGTTTAATATCCGTTGATTCTAAAAAAACATGTCAATTAAAACTATGTTTACTAATACTCTGTACTTGGATTATATTAATCTCAATTGTTTGTATATATTTGAGAATTACTCTAAAATACATATGTGCAAGATATATTATTAATTCAGCTTAAAGGCAATACTCAAAGAGGTGAATTGAATGTCACACACTCTATGAAGTCTTGCCTGTTTTTCTCTTATTTATGTCCACACTATAGCATATTCAAACGTCTACCGTGTTTCCTCGAAAATAAGACATCCTCCGAAAATAAGACCTAGCTCATGGGAAAATAAGACATCCCCTGAAAATAAGACCTAGTGCATCTTTGGAAGCAAAAATTAATATAAGACACTGTCTTATTATATTTTCGGGGAAACAGGGTATCATAACACCTATAACATTTTATTGCATTGATTGATTTGTATGTATATAAGCTTTTCTGACCCAGGGAACATGTCTTTTTATCTTTGTATCTCCCCTAAACCAGCACAGTACCTGGCATGCAGTAGGCACCCAGTAAATATTTAGTGGATGAATTAATGAATGGCAATAGGCTTTTCTTTCTATCAGTATGGTACACTAGATTCCCTGAATGTCCCTTCTAATGAAAATAAGTAAAAATGTCTCCTAATACTATCTTTATTGCTGAAATGGCAAAAAGGTAAGGAATCTTCAAAAGCCAAAAACTAGGTTAAAAAAAAATCCTAACAATTAGGGGTAAAGCCAGCTTTTACGTGGACTGTATTTGTTAAACATTAGTAATTTTGACTGGCATTCAAATGGTTTCATGGAGTGTCAGAGGGAGAAGATAAAGCCAAGCTCATCTTTAATTAGAAAGTCTAATAGGAGAGGCTGTAGAAACAGGTGTTAAACTTTACAAAAGAGAGAATGTAAAGGGGATGACAAAACAGTGAAAAACTTCAAGTCATAAAGGAATGAGTCACTAAATGGAATTTCAGTTTCTTTATCAAGATAGGGGTAAAATGAAAACAAAACAAAACACCAAACATGAGGTGGCCAAGGCGAGTCCAGAAGAATTAGTGTAATACATTCTTCCAGGCCATCTCATTGACTTAAATAGTTCTAATCTGCTAATATTTTTTTAATCTATCATTATTGTTGTAGTAATACAAAGCAGCTCTATGAGTTAGAAAGGGAAAAGGACTTCTCCCTACTGCACAGTATGTCACGTACTTGGAAACAGATAAAATCTCTTCGACAACAGCAAGGGTTTATAAGCACCCCGGTAAAGTTACAATTTCAGAGGTGAGTTCTATTTGTTCCTACAACATTCTGATGAACATCACACGAATAACTGGTAATTCATAGTAATTGGGAGAAAAGAAGTTGGATAACTATTTGATGTAGCCAATAAAGGATTGTATCTTGAATATATGAACCACTCTTAAAATTTAATTAAAAGGGACAAAAGATTCGAATAGACACTTCACTAAAGAAGGTATATGGATGGCAAATGGACACATGAGAAGATGCTCAACATCTCCTCAGGTCAGTAGATTAATGTGAATTGAAATCACAATGGAACATACTACACACCTATTAGAATGGCTAAAAATCAGAACAACAAGAAAAAGACAATAACACATGCTTTCAAAAATGCTGAGTAATAGCAACTCTCACTGATTGCTGGTTGGAATGCAAAATTGTACAGTGATTTTGAAAACAACTTGGCACTTTATTATAAAGTTAAACATAGATTCAACAATCACATTCCTAAGTAAAACATGTACTAGTAAATTATAAAGACATGTCTATTGGAGGAGCTAGTTATAATTAAAAACTATACTTGTTACTCACTGAAACTGTGAACTCACAGTTAAATAACTGGTTTCCTTCATAACCCATTGTACCTGGGTCTCCCCCCCCCAAAAAAAAAAACAAACCACACACACACACACACAAAAACAAACAAACAAAAAAAAAAAACCCAGCCAAATCCGGTTTGGCTCAGTGGATAGAGCATCGACCTGCAGGCTGAAAGGTCCCTGGTTCGATTCCAGTCAAGGGCATGTACCTTGGTTGCGGGCACATCTCCAGTAGGGGGTGTGCAAGAGGCAGCTGATCGATGATTCTCTCTCATCGATGTTTCTAACTCACTATCCCTCTCTCTTCCTCTCTGTAAAAAATTAATAAAATATATATTTTTAAAAAACTGTAAAAGATTAGTATAATTTCAAGCAATAAAAATGGTGTTTACTTTGTTGATTCCCCTCCCCCCCACTGCAGTGGTTTTTAATGAAAGTGTTTCATGATCACCTTTATTATAATTTTTAACATTTTCAACAGTTTATCGTTAAAAAAAGCGAGCTTTAAAAAAGCTCCCCAGTAATTTTAATGTGTCAAAGTTTGACAGCCATTATATTAAAGAACAATAAGTTAATTATGAACAATAAGTTCATATTGATTAACCTGAATCAGAGGAAAACAATAATATTTGTTTGTTATGCTTTAAGCATCAAACAGCACTTCACATGAATTAGTTCATATAATCCTCATAACAACACAATTTTCAAATGAGAAAAGTAAGGCACAGAATACTTTAGGAACCTGTCTAAATTCCATGGTGCCAGTCAACACAGGTTCTCAGTCTCAGTCCATACAGGTAATATCCACACTGAATTTACTCTACTGTACTTCAGAAGGCAAAAGCATATATTCTAATAGCAGTTTTATTAAAGAATTTAAATAAAAAAAACAGTTTTAATGAGATACAGTTTGCATATCATACACTTGTTCTTTCTTTTATTAAGGTGTCCAGTTCAATGGTTTTTAATATATTCATAGAGCTGTGCAAGCACAATTATAACTCTCATATACTTTCATTATATTTGCTTTACATAATTCTGTTATTAACTAGGATAAAAAATAAATTTGATGAACAAGATCAAGGAGAAATGTCAGAAATGTCTGTGACTGAGAAGAACACAGGAGGAAAAGCATATAACATTGGGGGAAATGAGGAGGTATTTATGTTGAAAAATTATATTTAACTCAACTAGTTATAATATTTAATAGATAAAATAGGATATCTTTGTAACAGTTACCCAACAAAGTTACAAATATAGGAGATATAAGTTTAAAATTAAGAATAATTGTCCTAAGCAATGAACTTACATTGTAATTTATATATTTGTTTGTTTTTGGTTTCTAGAGTCTCTTAAATTTAGCTTCAGAACTTGAAGAAACAGATATTGAAGGAATAAAGCCAATTACTTTTATGCCACAACTTTCTTTTGCTGAAGAATTAACAAATTTATCCAAATGTTCACTGTAAGCATTTTTACAGGATTATTTTTTTCTTATATATTGTCTATTAATTATTTAATTTTTAATAATAATGTTAGATTTCTTGAATGAGTACCATATGCCCAGCACTTTGCTACTTTATCTTATTTGGACATTTAATTGCCACTATAGTTCTATGGTGTTATCCTCATCTTAAAGATGGGGGAATTTACACTTATAAAAGGTTAAGTAGCCCAGGGTCACATCTCTAATTCTTCAGTAAGGTAGTACATAAAACAATTTGGTTTGATGATTGTTTTTTGTTTTTGTTATGGTAGTAATTTTTGTTCATATATAGATATGTAAGATATAAAGCCGCTGTAAAATAAGATTATATAGTACCCTAGCGTGTTAAGGGACCCTTTGCTTTCATAAAGTGTATTCTATATCAGGAAGCCCCTCTGGGCAGTCTTATACTTTGACATAAACTTCTTTACTTCCCACTTGTGACTTCTTCCTTGAGCTATAATATTTCCGTCTGCTCCTTGGACATTTCATGCAAAAACAGGTATCACACTGATTGTCATTTCTCCCATCTGTAGATGGTTCTTATCTCCCTTAAAGAGGATAAGTCAAATTAGAGCACTGAACTAGGTCCAACTTCTCAATATTTCTGTCTCATGGGACACTTTGGACCAATTCGTCTTCGAGTATTGTAAATGTGCTTAATTTAGCACAGTGTTGTAAGACAGTGGGTTCCCAATAAATATTCATGTACAATAACTGAATGGATGGATGGTTGCATTTTAAAATGAACATAAAAAGTAGCAGACACAAAGACATAATCACTCCTGCCTTTCTGACCAGAGAAGCACAGTGGTGAAGTACTGCTTTATTTGTTCTATACCTACTTCTCAAAGGGATCTGAGGTCATTTATTATGTAATACGCGCATGCCAAAGGACCATCTAAATGAAGACAAGAGAACAGGGTCCATAAAATGGAAGATGGAAATAAAGAGGAGAAAGAGGAGGAAGGGATTTATGCTGGAAAGCCTATGCTAAAACTTAGTGGAAGTCAAGGCAAAAGGAAATGCAATATGGTGCTTTCTATCTTTTCAAAGCAAGCTATAGTGTGGTATTGCTTCATTATCCTTTTAAAATATCCAGTTGAGTAAGAATTGACTCTCTAGAAAAGAATAATATTCTGATGTCAAAGATAGAGATGAAAGGAGTACAGAAATTAAAGAAGAATTAAAGAGTTTACATGAGAAGAAAAAACAAGATTACCTCAAGATAAATATACTGACTTAATGAATTTCATCATCAGATCATGAGCTCATTATTAAAATTACGTTCAAAGGGCATCATGAAGGGAAAATTTTACTAAGATATTTCTCTAAGGATGATTGGGAAGATGGTTAGAAGAGGCTAACGGAGAATAAGCAATCTTTTGTCTCTGAACCCTCTGAGAAGGTTATGAAGAAGATGGGCTTACATGAGGGCAGGGAGATCCTGGGCTCAGAGGATGATTAGGGTGGAGAACAGAGGGGGTTTTTATATTTCAACTAAGGCTTATCTTCCAACCAGTCTTTTCCTTTCTGAAAAAGTAGCTCAAGTCTTAAACATCATTAGGTCAGTTCCCATGGCAGCTTAAATGGTTTTCAGTAAATGTTAGTTGAATGAATGAGTAAATGAATGGGTGGAAGACTCTTTTTAGGACTTTCATATCACTCAGGGGTCAATTTATTCCCTAGCAAGTGTATTCATATAAACTCCAGAGAACTAACCTCTCTGGCTTCCATCTCAAATCTTTGGGTTCAGAGAAAAAAATTCCTGGAGAAAAAGGGTATACAACCTAAAGCCTACAGGGATTTTCAAAGCCTTTACTAGAACACAGCAAGTCTCATGATTTAGAGCTGCCTCTTTGAGATTATTGAAAGCATGGTGTGTGTGTGTGGGGGGGAGGGAGGTGTTTGTGTGTGTATGTGTGTGTGCCTCTCTTAAGAGTTAGACAATATTTTTGAGTTCTTGATTTTAGCTTCCCAACCCCATTACTAAGTCCCTCAGTTTCTTCTTCTTATAAATCATCTTATGATAGGTAACTGCTATAATATCTTTAAGTTATAAATGGGGATTTACAGGACGCTGATTTTAGGTGGTTTTTTTTCTATTTTTGAGTAAATATTTTTCTTGAAAAAACATTTTACTGTATAACAGAGGCTTTTACCCACATATTGGCAAGCATTTTAAGGCTTAAAGATATCACTTGCCCTCTAAAATAATCATACTTTAACATGCTAAGTTGAGGTACATTTTGAAATGAACATTTTATATCCATTTTGCTTTTCAAGGGTCTTTTAAAGGTTTATTTAATTTTTAGGCATGAACAAAAGAGGAGAGCCAAAATTCAGAAGCTTAAATATTTTATTAAAATATTATACAATGATAAACAGGTTTCTTGCACTTCAATATCTCCTCTGCAATTTGATTTTAAAGTCATGTTTCAGAAGATTTTCAATATCCAGTTAATATATTGGCCTGAAACAATTTGCTTGGAGGTATGTCATTGTTAAAATTTTGCTATTGAAAAAAACTTAGGTTTGTAATTATGGCAGTGATGGATTGTAGTAAAAGCACAGCATACAGAATCAAAAGACCTGGGTTTAGTACCCAGTGGACATCTGTGAAACTATCTACTGGGACTTTTTTTTACCCTCCCCTATCTCTACAGCTTGTTTAATTTGCCCTTGGATTCCATGAGTTAAGGAATTTCCCTGTTTCTAAATAATTCAACCTGAGTTTCCATCACTTGTAATAAAAACAAATATAGTTTTATAAAGAGACTCCATTCCCTCACAAAATGGGAAGAATAATATCAGTTTCCCAAAATTTTCATCAGGTTTAAATGAGATAAGGAACTTTAAAAGTGCTACACAAAAGTAAGTTATTTGGGTAATTGTGTTATAAATACCTATACTTTCAGAACTGTATTTATAATCCTTTTACTAAATTTATTTTCTTTGAAACCAGTGAAAGGCATTCTACTTTTAGGGATGTACAATTATCTACTTTTCTCACAATCATGTAGATGAAATGCTATCGAACAATACTTATTTTATATTCTGGCATTTTTAAAAAAGGAATACAAATGTGTGTTCGTAAGGGTCCTTAGTTTAGTTTTAAAATTTTTGTACTTTCAATGAGCTATCAATCATTTCCTTTCTATTTAGGTTTATGAAGTAAATAAAAGGACAAACTTGCTGGCAAAACTATATATACCTTTGCCTAACAGCACAGAGCTGAAAAGCAAAACTGCTTTGGAATATGTAGAGTTTAGCTCTGATGAGCAGGTCATGCCTGAGTATGGAGAAGTAGGAAGCAGTAAGTTTATTAAAAATGCTTCCTCCCCCTATTTTCTTCATGAATTCTATATCCCAAGTGGCTCTGGGTCACTTACGTGAGTAAAGAATTCTATGCCTACAGTATTAGGTTTAAAATGTATTAAGTTCTTCTGTCAGATGTTAAACTAAAATGTTAAGAACTTTGTCTTGAATGAGATCTTTGGGAAAAGTAAAATTTGGAATGAGCACGTGGGCTTTTCCTACTTCACCTGAGATAAGAGCGCCACTCCTGAGTGGATAGACGGCTCTGACTCTGCTTCTCTGTTAATGAAACCTAAAGGTGCTCCAGGATGTGCCGGTCCATCCTTTAATTGAACAGGAAAGTGAGGAAGAAAGGAAGAGAGAAAAGGAGAGGAAGGAAAGGTTGTTTCTGTTCACACGTCAATTGATTTTAGTTTATTTGGATATTGATTTTTTTAAATTTCAACTGGGTATTTTATTGTTCTGGCAACTGCAAGATATACAGATTTCTGAAAGGTATCTTCTGTGTGAAAGCTAGCACAACTTCATCCCAGGCAATTAATTCAGACAAATATACAGAATGCAGAGAAGTCTCAAATCGCATGTAAAAGGCCCCAAACCAACAAACAATAAACCCAATGTAAGGAGTTTTCTATTTTCAAGCTCCCTTAAATGTGCTATTTATTTACTAAGTAAATAAATAGCACATTTGCTATAAAAATAATCCTATATAATAAAAGGGTAATATGCAAATTGACCCCAATGGCAGAATGACCAAAATGACCGTTGGACCAGCCACTATGAGGCACACTGACCACCTCTTGGTTCTTTTTGCTGGCAGCAGGCTCCTATCGCCTGATGGCCACCTGTGGTGGGGGTGGGACTGCCAAGTGGGTGGGATCAGCCGACCTCAGTCCCTTCCCTTGGCCATCAGGCACCAGGGAACCTGTGGTGAGTGGCAGCGGGGAGGAGGCTGGCTGCTGGCAGCTGGGGAAGATGGCCCTGATTGCAGGCCAGGCCTAGGGACCGTACCTGGACATGAATTTTGTGCGCTGGGCCTCTAGTAAAAAAATAAGTGTCAAGTATTACAAACGAAATCATCATTGTGGTTCAAACTGATTTATTTATTTTAATTTATGTTTATTAAGTATCTGAAATATTTATATTTAATTTATAATTATTAAGACAATAATTGTCTTTATATGTAACAGAAGAAAATAAGATAGAGAAGGAGGGAGGGTGTAGTGTAGTTTACGTAGAGTCCAGATGAAGCAGAAAAATAGGGTTGGGGAGACCCAGGAGAAAAGACTCAGGTGAAAAATTTAGGGAGCACTAACAACTTGGTAAAAGTTTCAAGGAGAATTGCTAAGCTCTCTGGAAATTGAGAAAAAAATGGGGGAAGGAGGCGACTCAGGAATGTAGGAAAGGGGACAAAGAGTACCTTGCCTGCCTCTATTTCTGCTGCCAGTGGTCTTTCATGTTGGAAGCCACTCCCAGAAAGAATGGTTAAAAAGCTTCTAGCCAAAGGAGAGGAAAATAGAGCTGTCCATCTCTATGTAACCTGATCAATATGTTCCTCTCTTTGTAGTCTGCTTGAAGCAATCTGCCTTAAGGTATCTTAGATGGGTGAAGAGGGGGAGCTCTTAGATTAGAGCCTGGGGTCAGCACAGAGTTTCCTATGTATTTCTGGGTTTCCACAAGTAAAACGGGGGGGGGGGGGGGGGGGGGTGGATCTACAATGTGTTCAAATTGCACACTTTTAAAAAAATTTACTTGTTTTTAATGCCCTTTATAAACAGATGTGCCTTTTCTTCTTGAGGGAAATGAAACGGAAGAACTTTGTCTTTTCACATCAGGAAAACTAAGCTATTCCCTGTCATGGGCCTTAGATGAAAATGGTATTCCTCTGACACCTATGTCACAGTCATTAAGATCTGCTTACTGCAGGTAGTAATCCTTTATGCTTGAAAAAAAATTCCACTCCTCAGCAAAGCAGTACACAAAACCTGTGTCTAGAAAAAGAAAAAATTAGCAGCAACAGGAATTGAGTTTATTTAGATGTTTATTTTTTCAAATATAAGTATATAAAATGTTAATATACTTATTAATATATAACACATTTATACATTTTATTGATAATTACCCTAATAGATAATAAGTGTTTTTATATGTAATAGTCTGTATCTCTTCCTTGCTTAGGATTATAGTCACATGGAGGCTGAGAAAGGCCAAGACTCCCAAGGATTTTATTTCCGGGCCTTTATATTTTCCAGTCCTTCTGGATTATAAAATAATAACGTATGCACTATCAATTTGCTAGAAAGAAAATCCTAGAAATTTTATGCTATGTCCTAGGAATTTCTAGAAGAATTGGAATTAATTTATAGGTCATATCCACAAATAGGATTACTTAAATAAGTACAGTAAAACTTTATAAAAATGATGATTATGCTGCCTTTTATATTATGCTGTGTTTGAGTAAAATGGTAAATATAAAGGGCCACATAGATTCCATTACTTAAAAATTAATGAGAGATGATACTAGAACTATGGCCTTTCCACTCTCCGTATTTTAAAAGACCTTGGCTGTATGACATTATGAAAAAGGCAGAACTATGGCGATAGTAAAAATGTTGAGTTTCCAGGGGTTATGAAAGAGAGGGATGAATAGGCAGAACACACAGGGTTTTTAGGGCACTGAAACTACTCTATATGATACTATAATTCTGGGTACATATAATTACATATTTGTCAAAGCCCATGGGATGTACAGCAACAGGAGTAAACCCTAATGTAAACTATGTACTTTGAGTGATAATGATGTGCCAACATAGGTTCATGTATTGCAACAAAGCCACTCTTTTTGCAGTGAATGTAGTAAATTATAACTCTGCTGCAGGATGTTGATAGTGGGGAGGCTGTGAAGTGTGAGAGGTAAGGGGCATAGAAAACTGCACTTTCTGGTCACCTTTGCTGTGAGCCTAACACTGCTCTTTAAGACGTATTTTAAAAATATAATACAAAAATTTAAAAACATCGCTATAAGTAATTCGGATTTGAAAGGAGATCAAAATTGAAATTAGAGACTTTTAAAATAATGAGAACACTATGTATAAAACCAGTGGCATATGGCCAGAGTTATAGTAAGAGTTTATAAATACTTTTTGTGGTAAAGAATGAGTTTTAGAGAAAACAACAACAATACCTAAACATTAGTAGCACTCAGCAGTTGATGTTGAGCCTGGCCTGTGAGGCTCAGTGGTTGAGTATTGACCTATGAATCTGGAGGTCACGGTTCCATTCCCAGTCAGGGCACATGCCTGGGTTGTGGGCCTTGTCCCCAGTAGAGGGCGTGCAGGAGGCAGCTGATCAGTGATTCTCTCTCATTCACTGATGTTTCTGTCTCTATCCTTCTCCCCTCTTCTCTGAAATCAATAAAAATATATTTGAAAAAACACCAGTTGATTTTGAGGAAACTGAGCTAGTGGATGTACATTATTCATCAAGAAGTTTAACAGGCTGGGGGAAAAGACTGAAAATAAGAGACAATAGAATCCGTGTATGGCTTTCTTAAAAATTGGAGCAATCTTTATCTTCTTAAAGGCAGCTATTTTCTACCTTTACTTATTGTACATATTCTTTGCTTTTTATTCTTAGAGTTAGATATTTGTTCTCCTCACTCTGAAGCTAATAAGTGGGGCAATCTTTTTATACTTTCCTTTGTTTCTTTTAGGATCTGCTGATGTATCTATATTATTTTCTTATATTAACTTTTCCATCTCTATATGCTGTTAGTCCTTTATATATAAGAAGCCTTATTTGTTTTTTAAAACAAAGAACAATCCAATCATCTGGTTAAACCTTAAAAAACACTTTTGAGCTGTTTTTCCTGTCTAACTAAGCCCTCACATGGGTGGAATACTGGTCTGCATTCAGTGCCTTCACTTTTTATTCACACATTTCTTCCCTAACTCAATCCACGGATTCCTGAAGGCTACCAGTGACCTTTTGATATGAACTGGCTTGTCCTCATCATTTTGCTTCTTTAAGTCTCTTCTCTCACGGCTTCTGTGATGCTGCACTTAGCAGTTCCAGTTACTTGGGAACTCAGGTTTACAAAAGATCGAAAGCAGTTCTGTGAAAGATTGGGACATATGACAGATTTTAACAAGGAGTAAATTGTAAGAGAGGTTTTCAAAGTCCGGGGCCTTCTCCAAAGTTAACTCAAAGTAAAACTTTACCATTGGGGCCTCTGACTTTAGAGAGGGAAATTACAGAACTCTCCTCGACAGGGGGGGGAAGTTCAAGGGCTGGTGCTGAGCCATGGTTTTAGGAACCTGGGGTAAGAAGGCAAGAGTGACTTGTGAGAATCAGAGTATAGAGCCTTTATTTTATCCAAATAAAGATACTCCTTTGGTAATATTTCCCAGTTAAGTCATATTCTATATTATGTTTCAACTGTAAAAATGTAACCTAGAGAGTCTTATGTACTATGGATCTTATTAATTTTTCTTAAGCAGACATCTTGGTTACATTTTCATACTGTGCATCTATGGAAGGAAAATACTTAATAAGTTACGACGCTCAGGGTTTACAGAATACATCCAATAAGCACCATTTATTGTTTAGCATTTACTATGTTTTAGTTACTACACAGAGTGTGGACACTTTACCCTCAAGAACTTTACTGTCACTTAAATTTAAACTTAGATCATAATCTAAGGGTTATGATCAGAAGGGTTCCCTAGATCAGAGCCTCTCAACTGAAAGGATGGGGGTAGACACTTATCAAAACTCTATGACACAAGTTAGAATATTCAAAGAAGACCCAGAAGAGATATCACATGTAAACCTTCTATCTTATCCTTAAATGAAGGGCATGGATAGGTATTATGTTTAAATACCTGAAAAGAGTATTTATAACCACATTCCCTATGCTATGGAAATACTAACAATATATTGTACGCACATTCACAAATATCTTTCTCTATGTTAGTGTGTTAAAAAATGTAGACGCAAGAGGCGATCCTGGAATTCCATGGCTCATTAATACACAGAAGCTCTTTGAATGGGCAAATGAAGTCAGAATTGACCCAAATAACCCAGAATATTCTGATTTAATGGAATTTATTATGGTAAGTTATAGCAAATATCAATTCCTGAAATATATTGCATTTTCTAAGTTCTGGATCCTTTACTTTTAAACTATTTAAAAATAGTTTGCGCCCAGCCAGCATGGTTCAGTGATTGAGAGTCCACCTATTGAATCAGGAAGCCACGATTCAATTCCCAGTCAGGGCACATGCCTGGATTGTGGGCTCCATCCCCAGTGTGGGGCCTGCAGGAGGCAGCCAATCAGTGATTTTCATCACTGATTAATGAGAATATGTTTCTATCTCTCCCTTTCCCTTACTCTCTGAAATCAATACAAGTATATTTTTAAAATAGCTTGCTGCACATTTTTTCTAGGTATTAGGAGGAATGTAAGTGTAAATCTCAGGACAGACACAGTTTACAACCAGTTTACAGTATCATAAAGGCAATAAGAAAGTCAGCCACTGAAATATTTACTACTTGAGTGAGGCCCAATGGTTGGTACTCTGCCACTAAGCAGCCCACAGCACATCTGACAGGCTGACCTTCAGACTAGCATCTATTATATGTCCACTGGAATGCCAGCTGTATTATTAGTTACTAGGTATAGAAAGATGACTTATATAGACACATTCCTTCCCTCAAAGATACCATTATATATTTACTTTCCCTACTCTTCCTTATAGCCAACTGAATTGTTCATGGAAATATGAATAGACATGCCCCCAAAATGCTTTCTTCACACCTTTATTCATGTTATTCCCTCTGCCTAGAAAGCCACTCATAAAGGCTGTCTTACCCATCCTGAAAATCTGATAAAAATTTCTTTGGTAACCTCAGTTAAATATGTGCTCTTCTTTCCTTGCCCTCTTGTGAACTTTGTTTTTCTTTTTATGAACTGTTAAGGTTCTAATTTCATTCTGCCTAATGCTGTAGTTATTCATTACTGTGTTTTATTCTTCCTTGTGGAACTGCAGCAAATAAATATTTATCTCTCTCAAGGCAACTAACACTCTTCCTTGCATGTACCCTGTACTTCCATTTGCATTTATTGCATAAAGCAATACGTAAATAAATTATTGCAATTAAGTTTTCTTAGATCAGAACCTCTCAACTGATGTGCTGAATTGATTACAGGCATACAGAAATATTGATTTTCTCTCAGATTTCACATAAAAGTGAAATCATCTGGCATTTGTCTTTGACTTATTTCACTCAGCACAGATCCTATATTCTAGTCTTTAATCCATTTGAGTTAATTTTTGTGTATGGTATCAGAAAGCAGTCTAGTTTCATTCTTTTGAATGCAGCTTTACAATTATTCTAACAAAATTTATTGAAGGGGCTTTCCTTTCTCCAGTGCTTAATTTTTTAAAAATTTAAATGTAGTTGGTATACAATATTATATTAGTTTCAGTTTACAATATAGTGATTTGACATTTTTATACATTAAAGTGTGTTTTAAAATATTTTAAATTAAAAATTAATATATATTAAGTGAAGACTTTCATTATTTATGTTTTACAGTACATGAAACATAAAGGGACGGATATTCCAAAGTATTTTCGTCTTGAACAGTTGCAAGAAGAATTAAATTTTGTTTCCGAAGAGGAAATGAAAAAGAGTAAACGTTTCCGGCTATTGCAACTTAGAAATGCAGGACAATTAGGTATTTTCCCTCTGCAGCAAATACCCCTTTATGACAGAGAGATTCCAGATTCAATCTTCCAGGTAAAGTGGTTTCTACCTTGTATGTTAATGTTTTGCTGCTTTAAATCTGTCTTAAATTTTTTTAACTGATAATCAGGAGACAGACCTCCCCCCTTTCTTTAAACATTAAAAATGTAAAGATCTCATAATTCCAGAAAGTCCTTAGCTTGACTTGTCAAACAGCCTATTTCAAAGCCGAAATCCTTTACTAGTAGGTGTATTCTAAATTTATGGAAGTACTCTATTTTGCTATCATAAAATGTATCATATATTTAAAAGAAACTTTTGGATATAAGGGGAAGAAACACTACCACAGTAAATGTATACATTGATTATAAAGCACACCTCAATCTCAGAACTTTAAAATGGGGATGTGGGGAATTAGTCTTATGCTGTGTGGGGGCGGTGTGCAGGAGCCAGCCATCACCAGCTGTCAGAGCCTAATGTGCACCTCTTTTCCAACTCCACCTTCAATGACTTCATGTTGGTTGCTTTAAATTTGTTTAATTTGGTTGCTGGGGAAATATTTACACCATAATCAGCACATGCTATAAATTGGGGCTCTCCCCCCTTGCAGATAACTGGTTGTTAGACACTTACTGGTACATCACTAGTCTTAAGATAGTGGATTTTAAGAGCTAATTCCTGTAGAAATAACCAATTATAATAACCATAGCATATTTATAGAATATTTATTAGTCATCTTCCTATTTTCATAATAGCAAATTTTTCTCAATCATTACTCTTTTTTAAAAGATGAAGGACCACATCTTAAAGTAGAAGCAAACAAAATATAAACTTATAATTTAAGTTTATATTTTAATATGATAATTAAAATTATATATTATTTTATATAATTTATATAATCTGAAAGAAATGTTTTCCTCTGTTAATGCCAGAATGTTGCCAATGTCTCCTACACATGAACTGAAATAGTTAACATTTTATTGCAGCATGTCATATCTGAACAATAACATTCAAGAAGTGAAATTAACTTAATTCTCTGTTTAGGAATATGAAAGTCAGATAGAGAAAGATATTTCCTTTACAGATGTGAATTCTATTACCGCACAAAGGATTAATTCTGTCAATTTTCTGAAAAAGGTAACAACTGCAAAATAATATTAGCAATATGTTTGCTGAAAACTGGTCTGCTGGATGTTATGGTACTTTGTGCTTCCCAGAGAGTCAGACAGACAAATCTACTTACTCATCACCTCTTTCTGATCAGTGATGGGTTTTCACACTTCCTTTTCAGAGTTAGCTACTTACCATCTGTAAACGTACACTGTTAATTTACATTGTTGATGCAAAGTTTACTTCAATGGACAGCAAACTCATTATTAGTACACATCCAAAATTTTTTTGTTTAAATATAAACATTAACAACTTTGCACTCATTTTATTTATTTATTTTTTTTATGTATAGGGCATAATGTCACAGGAAAGTCATAGTATCTTGCCACCTGTGAATAAGTCCAAGTTGCTGTTGGATGTGTTATTTGCACTCTTTTTGACCCTGAAAGTTAATTTTGTCAGAATCCTTACTTTAACTAGTAATGTGGTAGGATCACAGCAGTTCAGGGGACGAAGGGATGAAGGTGCTTAAGGTTGGGCTAGGATGGGTGTAAAAAGAGATAAGAACAGAGTTTAAGATGACATGAAAGTGTTATAGAAGGACAAAAAAAGTAGAAAAACACACACACTTGCTTTGTTGTGACATGAATATGAGAGTTAGGAGTGATTTTAATAATGGAAGCAAAAAGAACCACATTTTCACTTATCTAATCCCCTTCCCATTCATTGCTTGCACAAATTAGGGGGTGAAAAAATAGTGGCACCAATAGCATTGCAAATAATTTATCTTAAATTATAACGTATACATTTCTTAAATTCTAAATTTTTATTTTGTAGATGAGAAAGAAGGTAATGAAAAGAATTGTCAAAGTTAGCAAATTTAACTTATCAGATATTGTAGCTGATTATGAAGAAATTGTATCTGCAAGGTACATATAAAATTATTATTAAGTAAGAAATATAAAGCTTTAAGTTAATACCTTCAAAATCCTCTAATAATATCTCTACATTTTTTACTAATAAGTTATATGTCAAAAGATGCAGTTGTAAAACATGAAATGAAATATGGTGACTTAAAATATATTTGGTCATTTTAATATGGCATTCTTCATATGATATAATATGTATTTTCAATTGTATAGTATTTTAGTTTTTAATGTTCTCCTTATTGATGGTTTTTAGCTCAAGAAAGAAAAGAAATACTTACGTTTCAAACTGGTTTTGCCCTAAGATTTTCCTGTCCTGAGACTGCTAGGGAAAAGTCATTGCTGGTGGCACCACACACTAAGCTTTTAACCTACTCCTTTCAAACCTGTGATCCACAGCGGGGTCTTTGGCTGGAGCAATTCAATTCTCATTCTGTCCCACCTGTGAAACTCAGGGGCAGCAACAGACGTAGGGATGCTTCTGGGAAACCACACTGGGGCCACTTGCAGGTTCATGGTATTACCAATAAGGGGCTAATTGGTTTAGGATGCTGAAATCTATTGTGTTTTATTTTCAGTCTTTGGGGCACATGGGTGGGACCATAGAGCTATAATTTCATAGATTTGTTACCAGGGTTGACAGCATATGTAACTATTATTTCAGATTCATGTAGAAAAATTGAGTTTCTAACAACTTTTAAGAGAATGATTCTAAAAATACATATAATAAATCCTGGAAGAATATCATGTTTCATGGATTTACCTCTCCTGCCCTTGTCTCTCGTTGGGCCATGTACCCAACGGGCATGGAGCAATCATATCCCTCTTCACATGAGAGTGAACATAGCATCTCCTCTGTGCTCAAAAAATGATTTCTTCCTTGGGCTAAAACAACTGTCTCCTCTCCTCAGTGGAGAAAATATGGCTTAAAATAATGGTCTTGTTTACAATAATTAATTTTAAAAATTGATATCTTTTAAAACTAAGTTATCTTGTGTATATGTAGCTGATCGCTTTTATTCTCTAGCCAGTTGACACACGCAGTTTGTAAGCTTGTTGAACGACACAGAAAGTTAAAGCCTCAGAGGAAAGAAAGGAAAAAAGTGGCAGCACAGACTATCTGTGATGGAGATATTAAGATTCTTGTCAGAATCCTGAGGGCTTATAATATTCCCAGCAGGAAAACAACAGTTCACAGGTAAGGCCATATGCACCAATTTTTAAAGTTATAAAAGATCTGTATTAAGTGTAAATTTCCACACTGTCCAATTAATATATCTTTGCACTTCATTAATGCTCCATATACAGAGACTGAGTGAAGGTTTAAGTCTTCATTTGGATAGGCAAGCTTACTGTCATTGCCATGTGTTAAGAGATTTTAGAAGTTTGAGATGCCCAAAGTATATCTTGCCTTTTATCTCTGTTCCCTGTTGTGAAGCCACTTTGCCAACTGCACTCTTCTCTGCCACTGGCCCCTCTCAGTAATGGAATTAAAACATTGGAGAGAGTAGACTCTGCTTTAGACTTGTCATATTAGATGACTTCTGCAAAAATCATCTTACTCATCTTTTCTGCAGGCACTCGGGTTTATTTGTGTTTCTGGTGCGGAGGATATGTGGCGCCAGAATGGGTATTACAATTGAGTGATACCAAAGTAAGGCATCATGAATATTGATTACTCATGTATATTTAGTATGTCCTGAATATACAGTGTCTCTTATCTATTTAATCTGGTGTATGGTTCATATATGGCTGTTTAGTTGCCAGATATTTCAGGAATGTTAAGTATACCCCTCTATCAATATTTCACACATATATGCTCTACACCAAGCATGTCAAACTCTCGACCCACGGGCTGCATGCAGCCCACAATGAATATCTTTGTGGCCCAGCCAATATAACAGTATGTAAGGAATGTTTTAATAAAAATTTTGTAACTTAATTTTTACAATATCCTGTTACACATAATTATTAATTACAATGTTCACTAATGACTGATTACTATAATCATGTTGCATTAATTTCCACTAACACTAGCAGCAAATATTTTAGCAGCCAATTGCCACGTCATTAGTCTTGTACTGACTTGTTTGGTGTGTGCAACAGGAAATATTTCGCTTTTGGAGAACAAGAAAAATAGGTTTATTTTCATTATACTTATTAATTTGTGCAGTTATTCAGTGTCTGATAAGTTAATGTTCAAGAAAAAACATTAATTTTTATTAAAATTTTCTATTATTTTATGTTAATGATTACTCATTTATTTCAGCCCTTTGTATTCAGCATGTCTCTATCGAAATAAACCAATGTTTTTATGAAAATTGAGGCATTTGTTTTTTTGCAGTGCACATAAATTTGAACCTCATTTATTTGGCCCATGTTAGCCCTGAGTTTAACATGCTTGCTCTATACTATAATTGTTTATCTCATGTTTACCCCATCCTAGGAATTTTGCATATGAACAACAAGTATTTTGCTTACTCGCTACTAATCTACAGTTAAAAACTTTTAATGTTTTGCCTATTTTTATATTCAACCTTGTATATTTAATAGAATTGATATTCTCAAAACAAATGCACATTTCAAAGGCTGATTATAAAAACACATCATAGCATCCTCACCATTTTCTATAACCATCAGTTCATAAAAGAAAGAATGTTGCAACACCAAAAATAGGAAGGATATCATCTCACTGTACCATTTGCTTTATTTTTCTCCTTTTGCTAAGAAAAACTTCATTATAGACTGGATCCAATCCATATTTCAGCATTTAGGAGCCACTCTTTCAGAGCAGTCATTATCAGATGTTTAGCTCTAAGCACCTATGATCTGAATATCAAAGCAAACTCTGTCAAATCCATGGTAACTGGATTACTTATGTCCATAAGCATAGGCAAAAATCTGCTGCTCCCATCAAAACTAATATTAAAACTAACTAATATCTCTATTGTTTCCCTAGAAGACCCTTGGATATATCTACTTCTCTGATATCATCCATATCTTGCTTCAAACATAAAGAAACAATCAAATCAGTGGTCTCAGAGGAGATATTATATGAGTTAAGTATTTAATACTTTTATAAAGTGCAGTTCCAATGGTTTGCCCTGAATTGTTACTGGTTTCTCTATCTCTAATCTGTTGGGATTCCAGTTTACTTTCTATAACACAATGAAGGTGCTCTTTATAAATGTAATTTTTTCTCTTTCATTCCTTGTTCCCCTGCTCTCAGGGTCTATAGAATACAGTACTAGCTCCTTAGAATGCCTACAAACATTTGTAATGATGTGGCCCTTACCTACAAGTCAACCATATCCCATCTATTCCCACCCAACAGCAGTATCAAACTACTACCTGTTCTAGAAAGCCTGTATACATGCCCTTTCCTAGCCTGCAGTGGCCTCCACACAGCTCACTATTATTGGCCACATTACTGCTTAATGTTTCTAAGCTCAAACTCAAGTTGTGTTTTCTCTGTGAAGCTCCTGTCCTCACCCCCAGAAAAGTAATCATTCCCTCTTCTGAGTAACTATTATACCTGGAGTATGTATGTATGTATGTGTGTATATATATATATATATATATATATATATATATATATATATATTTATTTATTTCTCACATTTCATTGCAATTATTTATTTACCTGTTTATTTTCCCCCCAATCTTATATAATAAAAAAACCTAATATGCTAAGTGTTCAGTTATCCAGTTGGTTGTTCAACCAATCAAAGCTTAATATGCTAATGATATGCTAAGGCCACTCAACTGCTCACTATGACATGCACTGGCCAACATGGGGCATATGCTCTGACCAGTAGGTTAACTTGCTGCTGGGGTTTGGCTAATCGGGACTGAGTGATACAGGCTGGACTGGCCCTGGAGCCCTCCTGCGGTCCCTCCCTGGCTGGCCAACCTTCCACATCTCCCTTGCCCTGATCATGCACTGGTGGGTTTCCTCGGCCTGGACTGCACCCTCTTGCAATGTGGGATCCTCGGGGAATGTTGAAGAGCCGGTTTTGGCTTGACGGTGGAACAACTGGTTGCTATGATACACATTGACTACTGCTCAATGCAGAAGCTGCCCCCTGGTAGTCAGCGTGCTCCCAGAGGGGGTGCACCAATAAGCCAGAAGCTGGGCTCATGGCTGGCAAGTGTAGCAGTGGTAGCAGGAGCCTTCCTACCTCTGTGGCAGCACCAAGGACATCTGACTGATGGCTTAGGCCCGCTCCCTAAGCAGGCCTAAACTGTCAGTGGGACATCCCCCAAGGGCTCTCGGACTGCGAGAGGGCGCAGGCCAGGCTGAGGGACCCTCCCCTTCCCCCCGAATGCACGAATTTCATGCACCAGACCACTGTTAAGCTATAAAATCTATAAAACAAAGTACCATTTCTCTTTTTTTTGTTAATTCTCACCTGAAGAATTTTTTTTTCATTGATTTTTTTTTTTTAAGAGAGTGGAAGGAAAGAAGGAGGGAGGGAGGGACGAAGTGATACCATTATGGGAGAGAGACATTGATTGGTTTCCTTTCACACTCACTCTGACCGGGGATGGGGATTGAACCTGCAACCCAGAAACGTGTCCTTGACTGGGAATGGAACCTGAGACCCTCCATGTGTGGGCTGATACTCTAACCACCAAGGCATGCTGGCTATTTATCTTGGAAAAGTATCTATTATTAAATAGGACCAATAAATGGTTAGTAAGTGAATAATGGTTGTCTGAAACACTAGAATAAGTAAGTCATCCAGTTTTCAACCAGCAACCAAGTAATTTCTTAGCTTTCTATCTTTTATCAACTATATAAAATAAATTCAAAAATCTAGTCAGTGTTTATTATGTGTTTCAGGATACTGTACACCCTTTTGTGGAAGTTTCCTTTCAACACACTGTATACCAAACCAGTACTGCAAGTGGATCTCATCCATGCTGGAATGAGGAAATTAAAGTAGATTTTGTGTGAGTTGGAGTCCATTTTTCTTTAGCTCCTAAAAAAATAACAATAAAAATATTTTTGAACCATTTATTTAAAATAATGGTTGAGATAGACTTTGCTTTTTAAGCTTTTAAATAATATTTCTTACATAGATGTTAATAAATATAATGTATATATAAATATAAGTTCTCAGGAAAAATTATAAAATGAACACCTGTATATCTACCTTCCATCTTAAAAAGTAGATATTACCAATATCTTTGAAGGCTTCTTTATGGCAATTACTAATTATATCTTCCTTCTCTCCCCACAGAGGTAAAAACTATGAATTAACTATTCATGCCTTGTCTCTGATATCTGCTTACCTGATCTTTCTTACTCTTTGTATGTGAAAGGGAGTATTAATTGAAAGGGAAATAAATACATTGTACAATATTAAGTTAAGTAATTAGTATATAAAAGTATATTTTGGCTTAAAAGATTGTAAAGGTATAAAATTTGGTTGTATGTGTAGAAATATTTGTGTATTAGACATTAGAATTAGAAGAAATATACTGTATTAAATAAGTAGATTTAGGATAACTTGAAATAGTCAATAAGATAAACTTACAAGTGAATGCTGTAAAGTAGTTGCATTCTTGAAATTATAGCAGAGAAATAAACCAAGAACACAGTTAGAGGTAGACCAGAGGGTTCGGGTAAGCCAAAACCATTCAACTACCATTTTTCATTGCCTCAGATACAGGAACTCCATTCTCTTTTCCACATGACATTTTAATGAATAAAAGTCATGTACAAATGGAGTAGATAGTAATAATAAATAAATAAATAGTCATTAGCCTTGTGAGCTCTACTTTGGAGGAGAAATTGTGAAATTTGAGGAAAGTTTGAATAGAATACAAAATGCAAGGTAGTGTAGGACTTGAGTGACTTAAAGGACACACTAAGTTGACACACTCCAAAATGTCTTGAGGATGACAGTTATCTCTTCTGCTAACATCCTATATAATAAAAGGCTAATATGCAAATTGTCCCCTCCGGAGTTTGACCAACTGGGAGTTTGGCTGCTTGCTATGACGTGCGCTGACCACATGGGGTGGTGTGGAATGAAGGAAGGCCTCAGTCAGCCCTGATTGCCAGCCATGCTTAGGGACCCTACCCGTGCACAAATTTCGTGCACTGGGCCTCTAGTAGTGTAATAGATATTCATTGCCTTCCCTACCCTATCTTAGACATTACAACATGAAAGGAAACTCTTGAAGGAGTAGGATAAGGAAGTCAGTTTATCACTTAGAAATATAAAGAACATTCAACCTTAAAATTATTCTCTAAACTCAATGAACATTTTTCAGTCGTCAATGTACCTGTAGATCTCAGAAAGTTATACAAACTATTTGTGATTCCTTGAGATAATAGCTGCTTTATTAAGCAACAAGCTTCAACAAACAATGACAGTGGCAGTTGGTATAGTGAAAAGATCCTGGCCTTTGAGGCAGTTAAAATTGGGTTTAGATGAGGGCTCTGTCATTTGCTGATGACATTTGCTTGAGCAAGTTATTTACCTTCTCTGAGCTGTTAGAAGTTTGATTGAGATTTGATGTACAGGCTGGAGCTGATAGTGAAAGTTCATTGCTTGTGATATACTACATTATTCTTTCAGCTACCTCCAAAGATTTCTCCAATCAAGTAAGCCATCCACAGACAGTTTGCAAAATTAAATGCATCCCACTATCCCAGTTTCTGGTTGGAGAAAATAAATGTGGGAAAAAGAATAAGCTCTTAGCTGAGAGCAAAAGTACAGTTTAACTCTCTGTGTGAGAAGTAACAGAAACTGGTAGAATTTAAGATAGTTGGAAAATCTTTTTTTAAAAAACCTTACCTGAAGATATTTTTTTATTGAGAGAGAGAGAAAGACAGAGAGAAGAGAGAGAGAATATGAAAATCAGTTGTCTCCTGTACGTGCCCCAATTGGTGATCAAAACTGCAAACTTTTTGGTATATGGGACAATGCTCCAATTGAGCCATCCCACCAGAGCTAGTTGGAAAATCTTAATGCACCATACTTCAGATAATTTGTTTGCAATGGATGCCTTCACTAGAAAGTCTTTCTGCTTGACATTTCAACATTTTTATTCTTCACTCAGTTACCTTAAGAGATAAAAAGATAATTACAAAGCATGTACTAGCTTTAATGAAAGCACATAGTTTTTATGTTATAACAGAAAAGAACACAAGTGATTTTATAGTCCTTTATGAGTAATGCTCTTATAAAATAAATTAAGCATATAACAAAGCTTTTCTTATTTATAGATCACCAGGACATGATTATAGCTTCTCAAGTTTATCTAAAATAAAAGATAATATATATATCAACATTTTTGATGAAATGATTTTTGAAAAACATGAGGTAAAGTACAACAATTATAATTATGCTGAAATAATTCTAAGTTCTGACTGAATGAAGTGTAGTAACATATTTGTAAATTTGCTTTTAGATGCAGTATTTATTTCTAACATTTTCTAAAAAGCATTTGGAGCAGCTTGGAATAAAATCAAACATATGACAAGTCAGTTTGAAAATAACAGATCACAAACCATATAGAGAAGGAAAAGGGATAAATATAACAAGAATTTGGGAGAAGTAGATTTCTGCAATTGAACATTACATTAAAATGTTTGCTTCCTGCCAAAGCTGGTTTGGCTCAGTGGTAGAGCGTTGGTCTGTGGACTGAAAGGTCCCGGGTTCGATTCCGGTCAAGGGCATGTACCTTGGTTGTGGGCATATCCCCGGTCGGAGGCAGCTGGTCGATGTTACTCTCTCATCGACTTTTCTAGCTCTCTATCTCTCTCCCTTCCTCTGTAAAAAATCAATAAAATATATATTTTTTAAAAATGTTTGCTTCCTGGTAGACAAGGTAGAAAGATAAGCAAAAATGGGTTATTTATTTTCCACCATCTGATCAAAGAAAATATATCCTTTCTATAAAAAATGGCAAATTATTCGTAAAACCCAGTTCTGTTCAATCTGATGTTAAAAGTTATGAATGTCTTCCTCATAGATATAAGAAAGTTCCTGATACTGTGCCAAGTGCCATAGCAAGTTCTAAAATAAATATTAATTTCCTTCCTACTGATCTTGACACTAAAAGTATAAAGATTCATATCCATTACACCTTCTCTCTTGGGGCTCTGATTAAATGTTTTAACATAAATGTCTATCAAATTATGTGGCAACACTATTGGAGGAGCAATTAATTCTACATGGAAGGATTGGGATTAGGCTCAGAGAAGTTGAAGCAGATTTTGATGCAATTCCTATCAAGATGCCAATGGTGTATTTAACAAAACTAGGATTAATAGTCCAAAAATTTATATGGAACCACAAAAGACCCAGAATAGCCACAGCAATCTTGAGAAAGAAGAACAAACTTGGAGGAATCATGCTACCTGATATCAAATTACACTATAAGGCCATAGTAATCAAAACAACATGGTACTGGCATAAGAACAGATATATAGTATAGATCAATGGAATAGAATAGAGAGCCCAGAAATAAATTTATGTCTTTTTGATTATTTAATGTATGACAGCCCGGCTGGTGTGGCTCATTGGTTGAGTATTGACCTATGAACCAGGAAGTGGTGGTTTGATTCCCAGTCAGGGCTTATTCCTGGGTTTTGGGCTCAATCCCCAGTAGGGGACGTGCAGGAGACAGCCAATCAATAATTCTCTCTCACCACTGATGTTCCTATCTCTCTCTCCCTCTGCCTTCCTCTCTGAATTCAACTTCAAGTTCAAAAACAGTTCTCTAGATCAGCATTTCCCAAACTTTTGACATATGTGTACACCTTCTATAATTTTCGTAACGCTGAGTACCCTTAGTACTCATGAGAATGTAGAATTAGGCGCAGCTAAGCACGGTGCAGTGCATATCCCCACCAAACGCCGTTGCAATGCGTACCCCCATCAAACTCTTCCCGTACCCCTGGGGGTACATGTACCACACTTTGGGAAACACTGCTAAAGAGCAAGTGCATCAGAAAGTTGCAGCCTCCCATTCAGTATGAAGATGTTCACACCAATGCCAACCAGGATTGCTGCAGGTCACCACCCTCAATTTTCTTAAGTTCTTTAGTGAATTTTTAAAAAGTGTGCTGCCCTGAGCATATCTACTATAATAAGAATATTACATTAAAAATGTAAATAGCCATACCTATGTCAAAACTTCACAATAGGTCATTATTTTGTTTTAATTTTTAGAAAAATAAAAAAGTGAGAAAAATATATTTTCTATTTACCTTTTGTTTTATTTTTAAAAGAAAGAAAATGATTTTTATACTTACCTACAAGTTTGTGAATTATTTATCACATCCATAAAATCAATGATTATTTATTTTAACAGGATCACTGTTTCAGGAGCTGCAGTGGTCATTCATATGTAAGAAAGAATTGGCTTGGATCCATTGTCTTCCCTTTCTCTGCTCTTCTGCAACAATCTGAGGTAATAGCAAATGATGGTTTGCTTACTTTCTAAGTTTTTATCTCTCGCCAATAGAAACATTTGCTGATGGGGGGTTGGGGGTGGGAATCAGATTCTGTGATTGGCAGGTTGTTGGGTCAGTTAAAGGGATCTTGGGGTATTGGAGTTTGTGAAAGTTTTAACAGAAGACATCCACAAATTTATTTCTTACAACTTTAAAGTGTATATTGATTAAGACTGGGACAGCTAGCCTTAGGTCTTAAAGCAACATTTATATTTGCATATAATAGTTTTATAGGACCAGATTTACAAATGTTCTGATCAATGCTGCTGCTTTGTAAGCATGGGTTCCAGGAGCTTCAGCTCCTTAGCATTGTTTATCCTTAATGGTAAGACTTATGATTGGTAGGTGTCTCTGCTATATTCCCAGAGGACGCTGCTGTTGGATTATATAGCAAGAATATGTCTACATGACCAGCAAAATATAAAAACTCCAGCCTAGACTCTGTTTGGGGCTCTGTTACTTACAGAGCTATGCCAGATATAGAAGATTCAGAAATGATTTCTCTATCTTAGTGGAGTTCACTGTCTATAGAAGAAAACTCACATTTCAGTACACCTGATAATGCTGTGGTGCTTTGGGAGGGGCATGAGATAGATACAATAATACCTTGGGGAGTACCTTACTCTTTCTGGTTTGGAGGGGGAAGAAAGGTTGTTCAGAGTGCTTGGGATGGGTAAGAGGGGAATGAGGAGGAGAAAGAAAGATCAGGGAAGTATTTACAGAGGAGATAACTTTTGAAGTGAGTCCTAAAAATGAGTTTGTCAAGCAAACAAGGCATTTGACTCAAGGATTTATATGTGTATTAATTATGTGTGACCCTATGCCACAGAAAATCTAACAGTGGCTGATGTAATGGGCCTATTTATTTCACCCAAAAACATAAGTTTAGATGTCAGAGCAGCAGCTCAAGAATCCAAGCTGCTTTTGTGTTTCTGTTCTACTGTCCTTATCATGTGGCTTGCATTCTTTTTTTTTCTTCTTCATTATTTTTTATTTTATTTTATTTTTAAAAAATATTTTTATTGATTTTTTTATAGAGAGGAAGAGAGAGGGATAGAGAGCTAGAAACATCGATGAGAGAGAATCATCGATCAGTTGCCTCTTGCACACCCCCTACTGGGGATGTGCCTGCAACCAAGGTACATGCCCTTGAC